TCTTCATCAACATTACATATCCTCAAGCGGTTTACAGAAAATCATTTCAACTTCAATTCTCTGAAGATGCCATTCATTCACAGAAACTAAATATTTGTCTCCAAAAACTAAAGTTGCTTTTAATATTGTAAGTGGGATTCATCCATCAAGTGAATATTTAAGAATTAGATTTGGATTTGAGTATAATAAATGTATATTTTGTGATATTGAAACTACAGATCATTTGTTTTTTCACTGTACGTTTGTGAATGCATTATGGTCAGATGTTTATGACTGCCTTTGCCAAAACATTCACTACCTTAGGATCTTTAATGTGAATGCCAGCATTTATGGACTTGTAACGGACAGTAAGAAAGAGGCCTTTCTAATCAACAACATCATGTTTGGAAAATTTTTTACATACATTAACCAAAATATTTGAAGGTGAAACCAATGTTTTGTGCTTTTTATAATGAGATTTTCATATATAAATCCCTTAATTAAATCCCTTATAAATTATAAATAACAGGAACACCCCTAGTCCTTTTTATTTATTTATGTTTGTTTGTTTTTAAGTCTTAGTTATGTATATTATTTTATGTAACACTAACTGCATCTCTATTTAATGTTTATCGTCTTTTTTTCATATTTATTGTGTCGTCACTTGTCACTTTATGTACACCGGAAGCTTCTGTAGCCAAAACAAGTTCATTGTGTGTGTGAAGCACACTTAGCAATAAAACTGATTCTGATTATTTGTTCCTTATTTGCACCGGTTTTCTTTTATTGTAATGTGAAGGTGTACTGATAATGCCAAGTTGTTGTACTTTACTATGCAAAAAAATATATATTTTTTTAATAAATTAAATCTGTCTAACATTAGTTATCCGCATTGTTTTTTGTTGTTGTTGTTTTTAATTGCATTATAACAAAATTACAAGGCAAAATTTGAATAACTATTATGTACATTTATAAAACTGTCAAAAAAAGTATAAAAAGTCAATAAAACAGAAATACAAAAAGATATTAAGCTATAGAATAGACACAAAAACAACTAAAAGAAAGAAAAAAAAAACATTTACATCGGGTCATTACATACATTTTTTTTTTCAATAGACTAAACAGACTTTTCCCACATTTTGATTGTAAAAACTTAAGATTCACAGTATTAAACAAAATTTTTAGTTTTCCAGAAGGAATTTTGGCTAAGGCACCTGCTTATGAATATAAAATTTCCCCAATATTAGAATATTGTTCAATACAAATTGAGTATTAACATCTTTCCCTATTAAACCAAAGAAAACATCATTTTCAGAAAATTGGGAGGACAACTTGAGGAATCTAACCACTCAAATAAATCAGACTAAAAGGTTCTGCTATATAAACATTCAAAAAAATAAATGTGCAGTCTCTTTAATGTCAACCTCACAGAATGCACAATTGTTGTGAACAAAATTAAATCTAAAGAAACTGTGAAGATGGGAACATATCATTAAAAAATTAAAATGTAATTCTTTAGTTTTGGGAGGTATTGGGAAGGAAAGAAACATTGTTCTTTATTCGATAATAGAGCTCTTGGGGGGGAAAAGGCATTATTTCTATCACCATGTATTGGAAATTTATCATGGGTTAATATTTCTATTAGTTTATTAGGTATTTCACTCAGAATAAATATTGTCTATTTATCAACAAGGCAGATGAAGTGTGTAATTTATATTGGCAACCACATTACAAACCATCGTTAGAAATGCCTTCGGGAAAGATTTCAATTCCCTATTCCAGTGGTGTCCAAACACAGTCCTGGGGGTCCGGTGTCCTGCAGATTTTAGCTCCAACTTGCCTCAACACACCTGCAAGGATGTTTCTAGAAAGCCTAGTAAGAGCTTGATTAGCTATCCCAAGTGTGTCTGATTGGGGTTGGAACTAAACTTTGCAGGACACCAGCCCTCCAGGACCAAGTATGCACATCCCGGCCCTATTGCTTATGATCACATTCAAAATTATATTTTTCACAAATTTCTATAACCGAGAACCTTACCCTCTGTCTAATAGATGGACAACCAAGCAAATACCTCTCTCCCACCAATCTTTATATATATATATATATATATATATATATTTATTTATTTATTTATTTATTTATTTATTTATTTATTTATTTATATATATATATATATATATATATATATATATATATATATATATATATATATATATATATATATATGACTTTTTTTAAATCAGATATACCTACTGTTCCAAATTGGTGAATAATGTGGGGAAAAAGTATGTTTGTAAATTAATTGCCAGTATAAAAGAACCTGCTTATGAAATTTTAATAATTTAAGAGAGAGTTTTTGCATTGTAAAAACCACTAAGTTACGTAATAAGAGATTTATTCCACCTACACTCTTGAAAACATTCTTTGGGATGTAGAACCGTAAATTATCCGCGTTTTTGGAACGTTTATTACAAAATGGCTGCCGCGTGACACTAGCATCGCGGCATCTAATGTTAGTGGCTGTTCCCCCAAACAGCAACAGTGTCGCCTCGGTAATTTTATGTTTTTTGATGCAAATAAACTATAAAATCTAATTAGACATCAAAATGAATCATAATTCGACTTTAAACAAAGGTAATCAGAGGCCCAATGAACACAGGAAATCTAAATAGAAGTGGACGAATAGCATTGATACACAGATACCTCGTGGCTTCAATGCCGGAAGGTCAAAGGTCAGCATCCTGCAATCGTTCTCAAACACAAATCAACGATAATACGCTCTGATAATGCTAAATATGAATTAAACATGGACAAAGTACGCGTAGAAAACTAAAATAAATGTCAGCGAAAACACTGAAAAGCTCGTGTAAAGCCTAAAAACTGCAGTTAAACTAGAGTAAACGGATAAATAAACACTTGTAAACATTTAAACAAAGCTGGACTTCGAAGTGAATCGATAAAATGAGCAAAACCGCTGTTTAACAGCATTGCTTATCAACACTGAACACGCAGCAAGAGCAGAAATCGCGACGAAAAGCATCAACAAACCGACATAACTGAAACTCTGCGTCGTTTATTCGCGGCAAACACAATCACTCACACAACATCATCTGATGTAGAGGCTTAATCAAAAAAAGGATGAGAGGAAAAAGCGTTTTTCTTACCTTAATTCGGTTTATAAATTAACGGCGTATGCTGATGTGCGCGCTCTCACGTTAAGGGGGGCGATGGCGGGAAAAAGCGCGTCTAAATAAACTGGCATGTGGATGAGCCAATCAGAGAGCTCCGTGACGGCGCGCTCTCTCGCCATTGAACAATGAGAGGCTGCTGAAGCACACGGGAGCGGGACCTTTCTGTACCGGCAGGTGATGCGGATTAAGTTGTGATGAGCGCATGCGCACTGGTTTACTTTCTCAAATCGGACTCGGCGTTGTTCGTTGGAAGGATACAGCCGCGGCCGGAAGTAATTTATTTTAATTATTATTATTTTTAAATTAGCCATTACCCAACCATCGCAGTAATGTAAAACAGTAATTATACCGAGCATTATTCATATTATTAATTAAATTATCTGTTGCCCAACCTGTATCCAAAAGTCTTTGCCTTGTTCATTATTTGTGGGCGGTTGCTACAGGGCATACAGATACGGCCTCACGTTAACGAGAATTATTTTTTATTTTATTTATTAAATCATCCATCAATCGCATAATTATTAACGTCTACCCCTTAAGCCAACCCTCATAATAATGTGCAAATATTAATTACTGACAGTGTCACAAATTGACGCGAGTATCCTGAGCTGTATCCCTTCTAGTGCGCGGTTTTTGGGGATAGAGATGCGGCCGAAAGTTAACGAGAATTATTATTTATATTATTTATTAAATTATCCATGAATTGTATTTTATTAACGTCTACCCCAACCCTAAACCATCACAGTAATGTACAAAATTGTAACTATACCCAAGTATTATTTGTGTTATTTATTGAATTTCCAATTAAATTGCCTTTTATTAACATTTACCCCTTCCGCAAGCCCACACGTAATGTAAAAATATTAATTATTGTTTAACAGAGTGAAAAAATGTATGCTATATTGACGGTAGTATCCGGAGCCTTATCCCTTGTAGTCTCTGCCTAGTTCATTCTGTGTGGGCGGTTACTAGAGAGGATACAGCTGCGTCGAAAATTACGAGAATTATTATTTATATTATTTATTAAATTGTTCATTAACTGTATATTATTCTCGTCTATCCCAACCTTAAACCCAACTATCACAGTAATGTATACACAGTAATTATTGTTGTACAGAATCACAAAAATCACAAAAAAGTCACAAAAAATTATTTTAAAAATTATATATATATGTGTGTGTGTGTGTGTGTGTGTGTGTGTGTGTGTGTGTGTGTGTGTGTGTGTGTGTGTGTGTGTGTGTGTGTGTGTTTGTACCCTCCATATGGTTCAATCCAAGAAAATATTAAGAAAATCACTAATAATAAATCATTAAGAAAATCTTTATCTGCACATCAGTCAGTCAACATACTTAAAATTATACATGCATATGTATGCATAAATGTGTTTTATTCACCCTAAAACATATTTAGAAACATTTTGGTAGAAATAATTTTTCTTTCCTTTTCAAACACATATGTTTTACAAATATATTTTATATTTAGCCAGAAAAATACTAATAAGCTGTTTAGCTATAAATATATCTAATATTTGTTGCGAGATTTAACATTTTCCACTTTATTATAATGTACAAAATAATAAATGGTAAAACTGATGCAACAGTGGCGCACACGAGCTGCATTCCACCTTTGTTTACAAGTGTAACAACTCCTTCCGCGAGGCAAATAGGACCCTCGCAGTTTATTTAACGATAAACCAAGGAATTAAAATAGCGCAAAACTCTACGTTTATTTTAAACGTTTAATCAGCCTACACTACTGATGCGTGTGGTGTTATAATAATAGGTAAAGCTTAGGGAACAGGAGAGCAATGTAGCGGAGGGATACGGGAACGCACAGCGGCGCAGCTGCGCAGAGACGCTGCACATAGACAATATACGCTCCAGTGTTGACATATTTAATTTCAGCTCTAAATATTCTCTTGTGTCTCGATTATGCCGGGAATGATGGACAAGGGCTCGGAATACCTGGGGAAAGGTCGCTCAAATGGGACGAAAAGCCCGTCTAACGCCTCGAACGGACATTTTTCGGACGAAAGCGGCAGCGACGACGAGCACGGTATAGCCTCGAACAGCCCTGCGGAGCTTGTTTATGCTTTTAATTGAAACACGGAAGGTAAACATTTTCGAAATTTAACGAGGATATTCTTGTTTTTTAAGATGTAGGCATGCGTGTGGGATCGGATTATCAAGCCAACATTCCTGAATTTGATCCAGGTAAGAAAAAGCACCGCATTCCGCCTTTAAGAACCTGACTGACTGACGGTGGTAGCCTCGGCTCATTGATCGCCGCTAATCATTTCTATTATTATGACTATTTTGAAGTCGCTTTTAACGAAAGTTGATAATCGAAAAGTCAATAATTATTTTAAATTCAGGCTATATTGTCGATGTATGATTATGCATTTATGAATAGCTTTTGTTAAAAATGTTAGCTTCCGTGCCTAGCCGCTCGACAGCTAATTTACCCCGCAACTTTGACGTACGAATAAATATCGCGTTTTTACCCTGGCATGGACAAATCGCTTAGTTGATTAGAATTTTTTTTTAAAATATTTAGAAAGCGTAATATAATTGAGTTGTTGAAACTCCAGTGTTGTTCGCCATTCACTACTAAATTTTTCATTACGTTTTCACTTTTTTCCCCCATACGTTGTCAGTTTTAACTGAGATTTTACACTGAATTTGATTTAATACTTAAGTACTTAATGTTCCATTCATTACTTAATACGTAATAATATTAGTAGTTAAATAACTCATATCTGCGTCACGGTGTTGACAGATCTAGACATTAGCATTGAATGAAATGTTTATTGACGTTTACTTTTGCTCAAATGTTTTATTGTAATAGTTCAAGTTCAAAACCTAATAATTGTAGATTTCTTAATTTATTGTGTTTTAAAAGTGAATACATAAACACTCACCGGCCACTTTATTAGGTACACCTTACTGGTGCCGTGTTGTTCCCTCTTTTGCCTCTAGAGCTGCCTTAATTCTTCGTGGCATAGATTCAACCAGATACTGGAAATATTCCTCAGAGATTTTGCTCCATATTGTTATGATAGCATCACACAGTTGCTGCAGATTTGTCGGCTGCACATCCATGATGCCAATCTCCTGTTCCACCACATCCCAAAGCTGCTCTATTGGATTGAGCTCTGGTGACTGTGGAGGCCGTTTGAGTACAGTGAACTCATCGTCATGTTCAAGACACCAGTCTGAGATGATTGAGCTTTATGACATGGTGCGTTATCCTGCGGGAGGATGACATTAGAAGATGGAGACAAGGCAGGATGATCCATGCTTTCATGTTGTTAAGGCCAAATTGTGAGTCGAGCATCTGAATGTGTGAGCAGAAATGGAGACTCATCAGAGCAGCAACGTTTCTCCAATCTTCTATTGTCCAGTTTTGGTGAGTCTGTGTGAATTGTAGCCTCAGTTTCCTGTTCTTAGCTGACAGGAGCGGCACCCGGTGTGCTCTTCTGCTGCTGTAGCCCATCCGCCTCAAGGTTGGCCGTGTTGTGTGTTCAGAGATGCTCTTCTGCAGAGCTCGGTTGTAACGAGTGCTTATTTGAGTTACTGTTGCCTTTCTATTAGCTGGAGCCAGTCTGGCCATTCTCCTCTGGCCTCATCAACAAGGCATTTGCGCCCACAGAACTGACGCTCACTGGATATTTCCTCTTTGTCGGAGCATTCTCTGTAAACCCTAGAGATGGTTGTGCGTGAAAATTTCAGTAGATCAGCAGTTTCAGAAATACTCAGAGCAGCCTGTCTGGCAGCAACAACCATGCCGTGTTCAAAGTCACTTAAATCCCCTTTCTTCCCCATTCTGATGCTCGTCTTGACCATGTCTACATGCCTAAATGCATTGAGCTGCTGCCATGTGATTGGCTGATTAGAAATTTGCGTTAACAAGCATTTGAACAGGTGTACCTAATAAAGTGGCCGGTGAGTGTATAACGTGTGTTATTGCATGTAAAGTTAACTTTTTTTGCATGGTAATCTTGTAGGATCCTCAAAATACAGTGATAAAGACAGCGGTGGCATGTTGGTTTGGTCTCCGCATCACACAATACTTGACTCTAAATGTAAGTATACACAACTTCTTCATGAATTAGTATTAGGGCTGCACAATTAGTCACACGATTATGGTGATAACTTGTTTATGCACTGTACACATCACAGACGTGAGTGATTAATTATTATATTTATGCATTGGTGGTTTATCTAAGTCTGATAAACCAATTATAAATAGCCCCGCCCTCAGGGAGCTTTCTGCTCTGCTATTGGCTGGTTTATTTAAAATAAACACTAATGGGTGGAGTTGTGACAAAAGAGGAAAATGACAACAGCCAATCAGAGTCTGAATATCTGCATATGAGGTTTTCACTCATTCATAGTGTTTTACAGACTCAATGTTTGCACCTCAACACAGTTTTTCCAGTTATTTAGATCTGAAAAATATTTTTTAGTTTTTTATTTTAATATGATTAAATAAATAAATTATTTTAAAAGCTAATAGCTTATTAAAATAGCATTTTTAATAGGGAAATGTTATATTTCAAGAACTCCAGATCGCCAGAGTTTTCAGTATCATGCAGCCCTATTTACTATGTTTTTTTTAATGTGTATTTTTTTTATATATTTTTTAAGCACATAATTTATTATATGCATCTCTATTAATGTTCCCTCCACAGTGGACGAGTACATTGCGATTGCGAAAGAAAAGCACGGGTACAATGTTGAGCAGGTGAGTTACAGCAGAGATCTCCCTGTCATACATTAATAGCTCTGTTTCATCCAAATGTGTGAAGTAGATTACCATTAGAAACTAATATGACATAAATAATCTGTGAATGAAGCAGCATTTCCAGTCAATGATAACCTTTAGGACAAATATGAGTCAGAGAAATGTAGTTCAGTGCTCAAGACTGTTCTGCAGGAAATAATAATAATACTGGAGCACCGTGATGACAGTGGAGGCTTTTTACAATCAGCAAAACCAAACAAAACAGGCGGGAAACATGTAAAGCTGCAAACTCTGTTTAATGCATCTCCACACATTTATATCTGATCGGCATCTGTCACAAACTAAATCACATCACATTACATGCTGGAGTTTATTCACTAACTGTGCATTCACATGAGGCTTCAGCGTCAACGCTTGACAGAGGGCGTGTCCGAAATTGGGGCTGGTACAAGCTGTGTCAGCCAATGAAATTAGTCTACAATCGGCTACTGTCTAAGCTGGGGTGTTAGCATAGCGATCTGATTGGCTGATGCATCCTTTGGTGCTTGAAATGTTGAAAAATTCCCAACTTCTGCAGCGAGCAACGTCACTGAAGCAGTGCAGACGGATCCACAATTGAGTCCGGCAACGCCTGACGTCACCCATTCAAATTGAATTGGCAGGGTTAACGCGGACGCCCTGTGTGAAGGGGTCACAAATGCGCAATATATTGTTTCAGCATTGATATATCGCAATGTGTGAACATGCAGTAGTCGCATCGCAAAATTAGCAATGTCAAGTTGGGATTGTAGTTGATCAAGGCCACAGGCTGGAGCTCAGAGTCCATAAGCTGAAGCATATCGTCGAAGACTCGCTATCTTTGTGAATAAACTGCCGATTCGAGTTTAAATCTACTACATTATCTCCTGAAAAACTTTATTTTGTAACACAACAGGAGTATTTTTAAAACCGTGCTGTTTTTTTTCTCCGCCATTAGCTTTCGCTGGTTAGGCTGCAATGCATTCTGTGAGAGCTGTGCTTAAAAAGTTTGCACTAGTCACCTCTCTGCATCCTTGGCCAAAGGGGCGGAGCAAACACACATCGGGGAGTTTTAAGCATACTTGGCGAGATGTGAACTTTGAATTAAATGTTGATGACGTTTTACGAGGACACAAGAATGCATATCGAGAAACAACCCAGAGCTTATCATTATCAATATAAATGCACTAGTTTTTGTGCATTGTTTTTCTTAACGGATATACTGTTTATCCTGCTCAGTTGTGCGCATTATTAAAGGGCACCTATGGTGAAATCTTTCAAGCTGTTTGGACAGACATATGTGTAGGTATAGTGTATAAGCCGTCATATTGGGGTGATGTAAACACACCCAGTGCTTTTTTTCTCCCCACATTAACAGCATGAAAACGGTGGAACAATTGGAACAAATGCATCAAATACTCATTGGTAAAGTTCTTGCAGTAGTATTTCTTACAAACGCTATGTGAGATCTGCTTCCTTCATGTCTGTCTGTTGTCTGATGAAGCCGATGGAGGAGATTAAGGCATGTAGAAACGCTGGGCGGGGAGGACTAGCCTTAAAGGCGCAGTACACCAAAACAGCCCCCTGGTGCAATAATGTATAAAATATAAACTTATAAAAGGTCTAATAAATAATCTGGTGGGTGTTTTGAGCTGAAACTTTACAGACACATTCTGGAGACGCAAAACACTTATATTAAATCTGAAAAAAGGGGTTGGCTAGTTGTCCTTTAAAATGCATGCGCATATGGCCGTTTCCAGCACCTTTTGTTTAATGTGATATTATAAATGTGCATATAAATAGGTTGGAGGTTAATGTATGGACGTCTCTGGTCTCCACAGGCTCTCGGCATGCTCTTCTGGCATAAACACAACATTGAGAAATCTCTTGCTGATCTCCCGAACTTCACGCCTTTCCCTGATGAATGGACGGTGGAGGACAAGGTGCTGTTTGAACAAGCCTTCAGCTTTCACGGGAAGAGTTTTCACAGGATCCAGCAGATGGTGAGTCAGTGGCTGAACAGCAAACTATAGACTTAACCAGTGTTGCCAGATATATCCGACTTTTTCCTGTCCAAAACCTGCACAAAAAACGCCCAATTTATTTAATTTAAATTTATTTAAATCAAAATTAACCTTTAATAGGGTGTCCACAAGTATTAAAAACAAGTATTAAAATTTGATAAATCGATTTATAAGAAAATGAAGGCCCTTAAAAGGTATTAAAAAGTCTTAATCGCATTTTTATGAGGTCTTAAATTTTGTTCAAGCGTTGTCCAAAGTATTGTCTCCAAAAAAACTCACAAATATATTTATTTTCCTCCTAATATTAACAACGGCGTGCTCGAGCCACGTGATTGGTTCAGACTGGAGCATCCGGCCAAGCTCCTCCCACCAGATGATGTCACTTGATGTGATGCTCTCCCCATGTGGCGAAACCACAGAGTGAAACCGACACAAACATGGGAAAATGTACGTTTAAGTACTCCTGGTTGGAGAAAGACGAGTTTAAACAGTGGCTGAAGTCTGTCACGAAACACAACCGTGTAATTTATTCTTTCAAGCTTTGTTTCTGCCGAGCTGATCTGAGTTCTGTTGCATGGTTGTGGTCCACTGATTTATGTAACTACAACTGTTTATTAACAACTGTTAAAGGTTTGATACTCATTAGAACTTAAAGTGGCGATGAGGTCTTAAAATATTCTGAGAAGGTCTTTAAAAACTCTTATGAAGGTATTGAAATTACCTTTAGGATGCCTGCATAAACACTGTTTAACCATACAGCAACCAACACCAGCAGGCACAGAACCACAACGTAACCGGATCACATCGAAACACTGCCCCAATCTCTCCCACACACTGCACTTAAAGTTGTGTAGGTTACACTACCTATTAGAGGATGTTTTACTTTTGAAATGGCGGATAAGTTCATCCCATTAGGCGTTTTTTAAAATTGTTTTGAACATAGTTGGGTGCTGCTTGTCAATCAAGCAAAGCTTCTATGTTTGTTCTTGCTGTCAATTGCGGGAAAAAATGATTGATAAAAGATACAATTGATAAAAATTTAAGGTATTTTTGTTTCTCTTGAATTTTTTTAATCTTTTATGTAATATTTTTACTAATTTTAAAGCATCATGAGTTATTTTGTTAGATTAGCTCCATATTCTGCCTCAGTGCTGATTAATCTAATTTAAAAGCACAAAAATAATATTGTAAAGCCTCCTATAGAAAATAGTCATCTAAATGAGCGATTTGTGAAGGGTAAACTATATATATATTTATCAGAGGTCGCGTTAGACTTTGTCATTGTCCGTCATTTTGACGGAGAGGGTTGATGAAATGAAAATTCCGTCATAACCTATTATTGACCGTCAGTTTATTTGCATATTTTCTAATCACTTTTTTCATTTATATTCTAATAATGAACTTGCATGACGAGCATATAGGCTAAATTATTTATTTATTTATTTGACAAATAAACAAAAACTCATATCTGCCTTACCTCATATCTTCCTCCTGCGTCCACCTGAACTGGGTGCTTGCCTGTGCGTAATCAAACGCACCAAGAGAGACTGCAGCTTCACCCCTCTGCATTCGTTAGTGCTCACAACGCACTCCAAACCACCTGACCTTCTTGCTGCCGCTTGGTTGACCCGGCCATAACAGCAGCTGTCGGCGACTGAGGATTTTTGTCTGTTTGTTCTTCATCGTCCACTGCATCACTTCCTCTTTTTTTTTCACCTTTATTATTAATATCACATCTATTTGGAAACTTCTCACACTCAGCTGCTGTGAGATTTTTGCAACTGTACGCAGCGGTGACAAAGAGGAGACAAAACAAGGGCAATCGCCATCAGCTGGACAGGAGTGGGAATTACAGTTAGCTACAAATAACAATAGATCACCCTCAGCATAATCTGTTAAAATGACGGATCACCTTCAGATTTTTCTGTCACTGCTGAAAAAAATCTGTCAGTGGCGGAAAATGTTTGGTTAACGTGACCTATATATATATGTATATATATTAGAGGTGTGAATCTACACTTGTCTCACGGTTAGGTTACGATTATCATGCCATCGATTCAGTTTAATTCAATATCTCGGTGCATTAATGATGCTTTCCATACATGATTAGATTTTTTCTTCACGACACAAGACATTTGTTTTTATTAAAATCTATAAATGTATTAATATTTATACACTCTTTGTAATAAAATTTAGTTCTTTAATACAGCTGTCAGATATATGAACTCTACCCTTAATTTGACCTGCTAAAAAAAACTCTCTTTCTGACTGTATAAAACAAAACTGCAACACATGCACAGAAGACAGCAGGAGCATTTGCAGCAAATACACTCATGTCACTATTCTCTGTTTGCTTTTTGAGCGCTGACAGGCGAGGTCTTACACCCCTATGATTGGTTATTGTTTTCACATGCTCAACAGAAAGGGCTGCGATCGGCTTTAGAAATGGAAGCGCTGTTCACCGATGGTGGGAAGAACAGCCGCGGTTACAGTCTGTATGCGCATAATACGCGATTATCACAGGTTTTCCGTAATAGACACAGTGGAGAAGACTCACACCTCAGGCATGCTCGTGTCTGGATCCACAAGTATCGCTTTAACAGCCAAGAGGAGCGGAAAAGTCACCTCACAAACAGGCCAGCGGGTCAAATGTCCAAAGGGAGAGAGGTAAAGATGGAGTTTTACAGCATTTCTCCATAGTAGTGTAATAGCGGCTCGTGTGCTGAGCCTTCTTCAGTGTCAATGAAAACTGTCCAGCAAACTCACAAGCAGTTGAACTGTGCATAGTTATCTACCTTTTAAGTAGTAGGAGCGTTTTATTTACTCCCCCTTGCCTCCTTCGCCATAGTATTCTACTGTGACATTGTGCATAGGAGATAAATGACATCACTACGTAATAACCACTTATGATCTATCTATTACTGAACCCATATCGAATTTTCTCCATCTGTATCGCGGTCCACTAAAGATTATTATTTTTTTTATTGGTCAATTGAATTTTTTTTTTTTTTTTTGTAGTTGCCGGACAAATCCATATCCAGTCTTGTAAAGTACTACTATTCATGGAAGAAAACACGCTCCAGGACCAGCCTGATGGACCGGCAAGCAAGAAAGCTGGCTAACCGCAACAATCAAGACGAAAGGTGCAGTTTTGACCATATTTGCGCTCTTGTTACAAGTACGTCTGTCACTGTAATCAGTATATGTGTTCACGGTGCAATACTAGGAGATGACCCTGATCATTATTTGGCTTTGCAATATATATTTACAAATTCACAAATAGCGTTAAAGCAATTTTGCAATGACATTTACATTCTACCTCACTCATGTCAAAGATTAGAATTGGACATTTACCTGGTGGGACATGTAATAGTATGTATAATAGGACATTGTGGCTCAGTGGTTGGTACTTTGCCTTCACAGCAAGACGGTCACTGATTCAAGTCCTAACTGGGTCAGTTGGCATTTCTGTGTGGAGTTTGCATGTTCTCCCCATGTTGGCATGAGTTTCCTCCGGGTGCTCCGGTTTCCCCAACCGTCCAAACACATGTGCTATAGGGAAACTGATGAACTGATTTGGCCGTAATGTGTGTATGGGTGTTTTCCAGTGCTGGGTTGCGGCTGGAAGGGCATCCGCTGTTTAAAACATGCCAGAATAGTTGGTTCGTTCCTCTGTGGTGACCACAGAATAATAAAGGGTCTAAACCAAAGGAAAATGAAGAAATATTCATGGATTTTTGCTTGAATATGCTGTTATATAATTATTGTTTAATCAAATTAGCTCAAGATGACAATCATATCGCTTATTGCAACCATTTCTGTGACAATATAATCACACAGCAAAACTTCTTTATCATGATTGGTCTAATAACAAGTGCACTTAAAGGTTTATACAACAAGTTTTAGGAACAAGTAATAACTGGACTTCTAGTTGATGATTTGGTGTCAGAAGTGTCTAAGAAGAAGTGGCAGATCTCTCGCACGCCCCTATACTGAATGAACCCCAAACCATGACTTCTCCTTCACCAAACTTGACTGATTTCTATGTGAATCTTGCTCCATGCTAGTTCCAGTAGGTCTTCTGCAGTATTGGTGATGATTGGGATGCAGATCAACAGATGATCCATCAGAGAAATCCACCTTCTGACACTTTCACACGTGATCAACTAGAAGTCGAGTTACTATGTGTTGCTCTGTCCACCACAAGACTATTGTCAGGCAGTGTAGTGTTCCTGGTGCTCACTGTGTGTGTATTTCTGTGATATTAGTGAGGAGGAGATGGAAGAGGCTAACCCTGTGGAGGCCAACGACAGCGACTATGACCCAACAAAAGAGGCAAAGAAGGAGGTAAACGTGAGTTCATTACACACACATACATCCAGAGCTGTGTTGGGGAATGTGCCAAATTGCTAAATACATTTACATTTAGTCATTTAGCAGACGCTGTTATACAAAGCGACTTACAAATGAGGACAAGGAAGCAATTTACACAACTATAAGAGCAACAATGAATAAGTGCTGTAGGCAAGTTTCAGGTGTGTAAAGTGTAAGAAGCAAAACATTAGTAATTTATTTATTTATTTTTTTGTAGTACAGTTAGCGGTGGAGCCAAAGAGGCAACTACAGATTAGGAAGTGTAGTGGAGACTAAATAGTTGAGTTTTTAGTGGTTTCTTGAAGACAGCGAGTGACTCTGCCGTTCTGATGCAGTTAGGGAGTTCATTCCACCAACTGGGCAGATTGAACGCGAGAGTTCGGGAAAGTGATTTCTTCCCTCTTTGGGATGGAACCACGAGGTGACGTTCATTCACAGAACGCAAGTTTCTGGAGGGCACATACATCTGCAGAAGTGAGAGCAGATAAGAAGCAGCAGAGCCAGAAGTCACTTTGTAGGCAAACATCAGAGCTTTGAATTTGATGCGAGCAGCAACTGGCAGCCCGTGCAAACGGATGAGCAGCGGAGTGACATGTGCTCTTTTAGGTTCATTAAAGACCACTCGTGCTGCTGCGTTCTGAAGCAGCTGAAGAGGTTTGATAGAGTTAGCTGGAAGCCCGGCTAGTAGAGAGTTGCAATAGTCCAGTCTGGAGAGAACAAGAGCTTGAACAAGGAGTTGAGCTGCATGTTCAGATAGGAAGGGTCGGACCTTTCTGATGTGAATCTGCAAGATCGAGCAGTTCTAGAGATGTGGTCAGAGAAGTTTAGTTGGTCATCAATCGTTACTCCAAGGCTTTTCACCATTTTGGATGCAGTAATGGTTGCCCCATCCATCTGGATTGAAAAGTTATGATGTAGAGTCGGGTTGGCATATGTCGAATTGGACATGCAAGATCAACTCAGGCTTTTTTTCAGCTCAAAGCTGAAGACTCTACGCTGTGTTTGTGCTGCAGTATTGCTCTTACTGTAGAACACATTGTACTGGACTGACCTGTATTTAAAGGTCTTTTGAAGTGCTTTGATGTTTGACGTAATCTCAACCAAAGCATAAAGAGAGGGCGGGGCATAGAGTAGCTCCTCCCCTTTTTAAAAAAGCAGCCAAGTTTTTTTGTTTTATCACCTCTTTGCCAGTTGAGCTCAAGTGCGTCAAATAAACAGCCAATAAGAAAAAGGGGGCGGGGCATGTCAGACACTAGAGAGCATTTGATTGGTCAGAAGATTTGTTGAAAAGCTAAAACACTCCTTTCCTCTTCCCAACATGGAAAGCCAGATGATGATTATATGCAGTTATGGCTTTGCAAGCAAAAATGTCCTAATAATAGAGGTTAAAAACAACAGCATAATAAAAGCGGAGTCAATTTGAACAACGCACAAGGGTTAAATAAGAAGTGAAATATAAACACCAATGTTTTGGTTTATTCTTCCCCTCATAGACTCCAGCAGAACCGCAGACTCTGAGCTCTAAGATCGGGATGGGTCGACGGGATCACCAGACGCTGCAGCACCGGCATCACACGCAGCGCTCCAAGTGCCGTCCTCCTAAAGGCATGTACCTGACGCAGGAGGACGTGGTGGCCATATCCTGCAGCTCCAGCGCCGCCAACTCTGTGCTGCGGCAGCTCGACATGGAGCTGGTGTCCCTCAAACGACAGGTACCACAGGAGGGACTAGTCATTTTGCAGATGTTAAGTAGGGTTGTGACGATGTGGTAATTTCCCCACCGGTTAATCGACAACTGCGGTAATACCCGTATCACCATGGGGGTGGGGGTTTCCTCTTTTTTTTTTCTGCCTTTAAATAGCTTATAAATGCATGCGTATGATACTTTCACTTTCAGTTTTGCAGGAATTGCCAACACTCGCTGTGTAAGGGCGCTATACAGCACACAGTAGGGTTTGCTATTGTTTGGGGTTTTGTTACGGTGCTAAATCGATACTTTTAAAACGATACCGGTGCCTCAACTGATACTTTTGAGCCACAAAATTTAGGTGGATGAATTTAGAAAACTCTTTTATTTGACAAAATGTTTTAAACAATAATTTTAATAGAACAACATAATTTAAGTTTAAAGTAAACATCAATGCATATTTGATATATTTGAATTGCATTGATGTATTTCCTTTGATCATTTGTTGGTTATGAATTTAAGATTTGCATTATGAAATGACATCATGCTAACCTGTGGAAAGGTTATATATAAATGTTAAAAGATTTCCTACCTGCATGTTTTTTTTTCAGGTTCAGAACGCCAAGCAGTTAAACAGTGGACTGAAGCAGAAGATTGAAGATGGGATTGATGAACTCAGACTGCCTGAGGTGACTTTACTTATTTTGTAAATGATGATTTATTTGAGTTTTTCTATCTGATGTTTTTATTTTCTCGCGGATCATCTGTTCTGCAGATCTGGAGACTTTTGAAAACAATTCAGAGTCGGAGAGTTTACAATTGATTTTCCAAAAACAAAAATGAAACACTATAAAGAAATAAAAATATCTATATTTATTCACCAACTTTCTCATTTACTCACCTGAAAGTGATTCTAAACATTTTTTTTTTCTTTATTGAACTCAGAGGAAAATAAGTTGTGGAATAGTTGTAGATAGATATCCAAAATAAAGTCTGAATTCAGTCGGTGCTTTTGGACAAAACTTGTTTGTTTTTTGTCCTGCAAAGTGAATGACATTTATGCCAGCTCACACACACTGATGAAGGGGCTGTTCACACACAGATTTTCTGTTATCGTTTACTCTGCTTCATGTGGTTTTAAACCTTATTGAGTGTTTCTGTATTCTGTCAAACACAAAAGAAGATATTTTGGAGAATGTTAAAACCTAGTAACCATTGACTTCCATAGTAGGAATAACAAATAAAGAGTAAAAAGTAAAGTAAAAGTAAAGAGAAAAAAATGACCAATACTACAGATAGCCAATGATTATGGGTATTCTGTTGAACACAAAAGAGGATATTTTAAAGAATGTTGAAACCCAGTGACCATTCACGCGTTTGTGTTCAACAGAAGTACAAACTCATAAGTAAATAATGACGGAATATTCTGTGTTTGGGTGAACTGTCCCTTTAATTGTCTTGTTTTGGATACAGTGCACCCAAAAAGGGGCTGTTCACACACGAATTTTAAATTCTGTTATCGTTTACTCTGCTTCATGTGATTTTAAACCTTAATGAGTGTTTCTGTATTCTGCCAAAAACAAAAGAAGATATTTTGAAGAATGTTAAAACCTGGTAATCGTTGACTTCCATTGTAGAAATAACAAATAATATGAAAGTCGATGCTTACAGCTTTCCAACATTCTTCAACATATCTTCTTTTTTGTTCGACAGAGTAAACTCAGACAAGAGTATGAAACCACCAATACTACAGATAGTCAGTGGTTACAGGTATTTTTTAGAAAACAAAAGAAGATATTTTGAAGAATGTTGAAAACCGGTAACCGTTGACTCCCAAAGTAGGAATAACAAATACTGTGGATAGTCAGTGGTTACAGGGTTCCAACATTCTTCAAAATATCTTCTTTAGTGTTTGACAGAGTAAAGTAAAGAGTGAGTAAATAATGAAGTAAAGTAAAGAGTGAGTAAATAATGAACAGTACCTTGGATAGCCAATGGATACAGGTATTCTGTTGAGCACAAAATAGGATATTTTGAAGAATGTTGAAACCCAGTAACCATTTACTCTTTTGTGTTCAACAGAAGTACAAACTCGTAAATAGTAAATAATGACTGAATATTCAGTCTTTAGGTGAACTGTCCCTTTAATTGTCTCATTTTTGTCACAGTGCATCCTAAAAGGGGCTGTTCACACACAAATTTTGAACTTTGTTATCGTTTACTCTGCTTCATGTGATTTTAAACCTTATGAGTGTTTCTCTATTCTGCCAAAAACAAAAGAAGATATTTTGAAGAATGTTAAAACCTGGTAATCATTGACTTCCATAGTAGAAATAACAAATAATATGAAAGTCGATGCTTACAGCTTTCCAACATTCTTCAACATATCTTCTTTTGTGTTTGACAGAATAAACACAGATACTACAGATAGCCAATGGTTACAGGTATTTTGTAGAAAACACAAGAAGATATTTTGAAGAATGTTGAAAACCGGTAACCGTTGACTTCCAAAGTACAAATAACAAATACTTTGTGAAGTCAACGGTTACAGGGTTCCAACATTCTTCAAAATATCTTCTTTTGTGTTTGACAGAATAAACTCGAGTAAAGAGTAAGTAAATAATGAACACCTTGGAGAGCCAATGGATACAGGTATTCTGTTGAACACAAAAGAAGATATTTTGAAGAATGTTGAAACCCAGTAACCATTGACTTCCATAGTAGGAATAACAAATAATATGGAAGTCGATGCTTACAGCTTTCCAACATTCTTCAAAATATCTTCTTTTGTGTTCGACAGAATAAACACATACTAAAGATAGCCAATGGATAAAGGTAATCTGTTGAACACAAAAGAGGATATTTTGAAGAATGTAAATAATGACCGAATATTCAGTTTTTGGGTGAACTGTCCCTTTAATTGTCTTGTTTTTGTTACAGTGCACCCAAAAAATTAATGCCCGCTGGACCACAGATGAGCAGCTGCTGGCAGTGCAGGGTAAATCAGCAGATCACTCCATCAATTAAGCAGTCAGTGATTAATGTCAATTCATTAACCAAATATCAAAACTGTCGCATTCAAACAGGAGTACGCAAATATGGGAAGGACTTCCAGGCCATTGCTGATGTGATCGGGAATAAAACCGTGGGACAGGTGAAGAATTTCTTTGTGAACTACCGGCGGCGGTTTAACCTGGACGAGGTGCTTCAGGAGTGGGAAGCGGAGCAGGGGACGCGGACGCCTAATGGAGACGGAGCCAATTCAGGAGAGGATGGTAAAACCAGCAACGCCTCGTCAGGGAAGAGCACAGACGAGGAAGAGGAAGAGGTGAGGGTCACAAACATATATGTATATATTCATTTAAATATTAAATGAAGGAGAATAATGCTGAAGCACTGTGATGACTTTACAATGTAAAGCTGGAAACGATAGGCCAGTCATGATAAGGACAATAGGCTGCATTTCCACTGCAGATCTTGATGGTCAGTTCTGATTTTGTGGCTGTATCTGATATTTATTTTGTATTTTTTTTGATGACCTGCTTACATCATCTTTAAAAAAGTAACTCGTATCAGATCGTCTGCATTTACACAGCACAAGGCGCAATGACCAGGAAAAAAAAAAGAGCGGGCGCTGACTGACAGCTGATAATTGAAGAGTGCTCTTCTCTCTACTCCTGTATGTAATCTGTTCGCAGCGATTGACAAGCTGTTTCACTATCGTTTATGACTGACAGCTTCTCATTTGTTTATCTTCTTTTGATATATATAGGCGTTTTTAAACCTTTAGGCATCTTAATGCAGGGTTAAACGCCAGGGATTTTTTTCTACTGGCCCAATCGGGCAAGTGGTTTAGATTTTTACTTGCCCTGCCAAAATTTTCTCTGCTCCCACCAAAAAAACAAGTCAGCCATTTAGTTTTTCAGCATAACTTTTCTTTAAATACAACTGACAATTTAAAAATTATTTAATTTAAATACAATAGTGATTAAATCAAATAAAGTGAATTGTTTAATGTGTGGTTTAGTTGAAAACTCCAACAATTTTATGTTTTTTTGTTTGTTTAAAACCCACCAAAATGCCTAATTTTATAAACCGGCTCATTAAATCAGTCTGTAATACTGTCAATATTTTTAATTTGTCATTTTTTTGTAAACCTAGATTTGTGGTGCTTTCACATCTGTAGCTGGCTTCATTTGGTCCGCACCAAGCGCAATAAATGATACATTGTTGCATCTTCTGCCGTCTTTGGCAAGGCAAGGCAACAATGCAGTCATGTGACAAAATCCACATCTCTCATTGGCCAGATGTTGTTGAACATAGTTCCTAAACTGCTTATTGATTGGTCAGAATTTTTTTACTCTGGAGGGGCGACTGCGCTGACTGATTGTGCGCCTGGTTTAGACAAACTCTACATTTAGAGAATGAAGCGCGGCTGGAAAACAGTGTTTAATGCATCGCTCGTCACTTCAGGAGGAGGCGTGAATTTAGCTAAACAAGTTCATAAAGTTCTCAGAAAGTTTCTTATGATTATAACTTGCAAATTGTATATATATCTAATGGCGTGATCTTTTAACCTGCGTCCAATCCCGGCTAACTTCCGGAAAGGTAGAGTAGCCAATAGCGTTAGAGATAACAAGTAAACCAAGTCCCGGCCCAGGACTGACAAAAATTCAAAATGTTTCACGCAAGCAGAGAGAAGAACCAGCGACTGAGCGGAGAGAACTGATCCAATGAGAACTGTCATCCAATGATGATGTGCGCGCGCGGGACTTGTTTTCTCACGCTGGATCAGTTGAGCGCGCGCGTGAAGATCCCCTGTGTGCTCGCGAGCTGTAGTTTTCTCGCGTGTAGACCTGTAATCTGCTCACAGTTCACTTCTCCTCGCGCGCAAACATCACCGCTGCGCTCGATTAATATTGGCATTGATTTGCCGCCATATGTTTCCGGCTTCTCTGTTTTTTCACTCTCGCGTTTGTCAGTTTCTGACAGGATCGGGTTTCAAAAGCAGGTCAATAATCAAGCGCACGTTATTATCATCAGCTCTAGAAGTTTGTTATTTCAGATATAGACGCGCGGCGAGCGCAAGCCAGAAAGCAAAACCGCTTGCGCTTCAGACTGGCTCGTACAAAACAAAGGGGCTCAGGGTAAATCTGCTCTTCCTTTTGGCTTTGTGGCTGTTCATCAAGATGACGACAAGGTTTGTTTGAGCTCGGGTCGACCAATGCTCGTTATTCTATGTATATATATTTACGCTGTAAAAGATCTCTCGCTGTGTATTTTAAACATGGCGGCTCTTTTGTTTTCATATTGGCTTGTTGCGTGAGCTCATGACGTATCTCGATAAACCAATAGCATTCAGCTGCGCTTCTAGCTCCGCCTTTTGGTACCCTTTCTCGTGTTTGATGCCCTTTCGAATAGGTGCCGAGTAGTATGAGTAGTGGTAGTCATTGTTGTAGTAGTAGTCGTGGTTGTGGCTGTAGTAGCAAAAGTAGTAGTCGTAATACAAGTAACTTTCTGTAGTAATAGTTGGTGTAGTACTTGTCATTATTACTATCATACATTACTAAGCATTGTTGTTACTCCCTACCTCTGACTGGTTTCTTTCTGTCTCTTTTACTTATATCTGTGATACTTGCTTCATTTATTGACTGTTATTGTTCCTTATGCATGTACTATGACCTGTCCACCAAGTTACCTTTACATGTACACACACACACACACACAGACCTAACAGTACCTGACTATATTGTTTTTTTTTTTTTTTTTTTTTTTTTTTGTTGTTTTTGTTTTGTTTGTTTTTGTTTTGTTGTTTTTGTTTTGTTTGTTTTTTTTGTTGTTTTTTTTGTTTGTTTTTTTGTTGTTTTTGTTTTGTTTGTTTTTTTTGTTGTTTTTGTTTTGTTTGTTTTTTTTGTTGTTTTTGTTTTGTTTGTTTTTTTGTTGTTTTTGTTTTGTTTGTTTTTTTGTTGTTGTTGTTTTGTTTGTTTTTTGTTTTTGTTTTTGTTTTGTTTGTTTTTTGTTTTGTTTGTTTTTGTTTTGTTTGTTTTTTTTGTTGTTTTTGTTTTGTTTGTTTTTTTGTTGTTGTTTTGTTTGTTTTTTGTTTTTGTTTTGTTTGTTTTTTTGTTGTTTTTGTTTTGTTTGTTTTTTGTTTTGTTTTGGTTTTTTGTTGATGTTTCTTTGTATTTGTATGATCCCAATTTATGTACCTTTTTGCATATTCTAATAAAAAAAAAGAAAGGGTGTCGAAAAAGTGGCACGGTATGGTTCGGTACGCCTTTTGACAGTGGAAACAGCCATAAAAGCGTACGGTAACGTACCACTCCATATGAGGTGCCGAACTCTGCTGGCATCAGTGCATGACAGAGGCAGAGTACGTTCACTCCGCTCCACACTCAGCTTAAGTTTTTTTAATAATCAAACATCTCTGCTTGCGCAACACAACAAAACTATTTTGAAATTTGCTGCCAACGGTTTTAGTAATCGATTTTAATCGATTTAAGTGACGTGTTGATGCAGCCCTAGTCAAGATTACTGATGTTTAAAGAAATCAGATCTTAAACCTCACTAGAAGTGCCTGTGCTGCTGACTGAATATTAAAGTCCTTCTGCGTGTTCCTCATCACCAAGATTTAAAATGATTAGTGATTTTCAAAAGTCTTTCCCGAACCCTGTTACTTCCTAAAAGCTGAACGGCACGTCTTCTCTGTGTGTTAGGGTCAGGTGAGTCTGGCGTGTGGGCCGTCTCCTGTCGTCTCCTCTTCCTCCTCGTGTCCTCCATCCTCCTCCTCGTCTCTCCAGCAGCCTCCGCCTCTGCTGCGCCCGTCTCTTCCGGCCACCCCGGCTCTGCATCGCCAGCCTCCACCTCTGCAGCAGCAGGCCCGCTTCCTGCAGCCCCGTCCCGCTCTGCACCAGCCCCCGCCGCTCATCCGACCCTCCAACCCCGTCCCACCACGGCTCAACCCCCGGCCGGCCGCTCCACTGGCCCCCAGCACAGCGAACACCCCTGCAGCAGGACAGCAGCCGCCAGCTCTGCTGGGCATCCAGAGCGCAGAGACGCCCTCGTCCTCCCTGCACTGACACACCGCCGGAGGGTAACACTGTACAGACCCCCAAAACTGAACCACACACACCTTTACACTGTACATATTAGTAGCGTGACTGTCTATTTATTTAATCTGTGTGTGTGTGTGTGTGTGTGTGTGTGTGTGTGTGTGTGTGTGTGTGTGTGTGTGTGTGTGTGTTTAAAAGAGTTAATACTGTCAAACCTGAAATTATTAATATTCCTGACAGTTTCTGACCTGATTGTGCTTTCATTCAGCCAGCAGGCTCTGTTTGGACCCTCTGAAAGATAGTAAGAGGACGTACAGGAGGCGTGTGTGTGTGTGTGTGTGTGTGTGTGTGTGCGTGTGCGTGTGCGCTTCAATTACCTGTCTTTGTGGAGCTTAAATATAATTGTGTGTGTGCGTGTGTGTGTGTGTGTGTTTAAGTTTTTATGCATGCATGCATGCATGTTTGTGTGTGTGTTTTTACGTTTGTAAATATGCGTGTATGAATGTGTGTACATGTATGCGTGTGTGTGTGTGTTATGCGTGCATGTTTTTGTGTATATGTATGTATGTGCGTGCGTGTGTGTTTTTATGCGTGCATGTGTGTATGTATATGTATGTGCGTGCGTGTGTGTGTTTTGTGCGTGCGTGTGTGTATGTATGTATGTGTGTTTGTATGTGTGTTTTTATGTGTGTATATATGTGTATGAATGTGTATGTATGCTTGCGTGTGTGTTTGTGTGTGTATATGTATGTTTTTATGCGTGTATGTATGTATGTGTGTGTGTGTGTATATGTATGCGCGTGTGTGATTTTATGTGCGCGTGTGTGTGTGTGTGTGTTTACGTGTGTGTATATGTGCATAAGTGCGTGGGTTTGTGTGTGTGTGCGTGTGCGCGCGCACATGTTTTTACGTGTGTGTGTATGTAACTATGCATGTTAGTATTTTTATGCTTGCGTGTGTGTGTGTAAATGTATGTATGTGTGCATGTGTGTATAGTTTTATGTTTGCGTGCGTGTGTGTGTGCGTGCGTGCGCGTGCGTGTGTGTGTTTTTTTTTTTTTTATGCATGCATATGTATGTGTGTGTGTTTCTTTTTTTTGTGCGTGCGTGCATGTATGTATTTGTGTGTGTGTGTGTGTGTGTGTGTGTGTTTTTATATGTTTGTTTGTGTTTGTTTTCTCTCAAAAGATATTAAGACCAATCTTCTGGAGTAGGGGTGTCCAGTTTGGTGTCCTCCAGATTTTAGCTCCATCTTGCCTCAACACTCCTGCATGGATGTTTCTAGAAAGCCCAGTAAGAGCTTGATTGGCTAGCCCAGGTGTGTCTGAGATTGGGGTTGGAGCTAAACGTTGCAGGACACCGGCCCTCCAGGACCGAATTTGGGCACCCCTGTTTTAGAGGCTTCACTGGTTTATTCCACAGTGGTACCTCTTGGCCATCGCCATGTTATCTTTTTGGTCTGTGCCATTTCTGGACATAAAATCCTGCTGGTTGAATAAAAGGAGTGTGTAATAATATTTCTCAGTGTTAATTCACACTTGCATAAGACACTCAAAGCTGATTTTGCCAGGGGTGTGAATAATTTCAGCTTTGACTGTGTAGTTCAGACAAACGTGAACGTTTCCTCAGTATTTACTCTCCCTCAAGAGGTCTTCAATGAGTTTCTTTCTTGTGTTGAACACAAAAGTAGATACTTTGAAAAATGCTGAAACTTGACTTCCATTGTAGGAAAAGAAATACTATTGAAGTCAATGGTTACAGGTTTCCAACATACTTCAAAACATCTATGTTAAACAGAAGCTATTAAACGTCTGAAACAAAGTAAAGTGAGAGTAAATAATGATCATTTTCATTTTTGCGTGAACTGACCCTTTAATCTTAGGGTTTGTAATCATGTTGTACTTGACAGGGTTTGTTCATGCATTAATGAAGGTTCAGTCTTTGTTTATTCAGCTTTGTGTTGTTGTTAGTGATGAACTAAAAGGAGAAATGTAAGTGTGATGCCACATGATGGCAGTGAATCGTCAGCATAGGCTGTGCCACTAATAGAGTTCAGTGATTTTGGGTTGAAATTAATGTATTTAAACTGTGTTGTGCATTTCAGAAACAATTAGAGTATACAATGCATATTGTATGATGATGTTTGCATTTTTATAATTTATTATTTTCCTCTATTTGTGGTCTAAATACAAAAATTAACCATAAACATTTAAGTTTAAACATGTTTAAGCAGCATTTAGGGGTCAGTTCACACCAAAATTGTCAATATTTACCCATTCTTTACTTTGTTTTAAACCTTTATGGGTTTCTTCTGTAAAACACAAAAGAAGATATTTTAAAGAATGTTGGAAACCGTTTTTTGTAGGAAAAACCAATCCAGTGAAAGTCAATGGTTACCGGTTTTCAACATCTTTCAAAATCTCTTCCTGTGTGTTTAACAGAAGCAAATCATAAAAGTGTGTGACCACATGAGTAAATAGTGAGTATTTTTGTCATTTTAGGGTGAACTGTTACTTTTTTGCATTTTCTTTTCTCGATTTGTTGTCCAAAAACAAAATTGAACTGTAAACATTTAACTTCACATGTTTAAGCTGCATTTAAGGGTCAGTTCACACCAAATTGTAAATTGCATTATTTACTCACCCTTTACTTTGTTTTAAACCTTTGTGAAGTTCTTCTGTAAAACACAAAAAGAAGATATTTTGAAGAATGTTGAAAATCGGTAACCATTGACTTCCATTGTAGGAAAAACCAATACTGTGGGAGTCAGTGGTTACCAGTTTTCAGCATTCATCAAAATCTTTTCTTTTTGTGCTCAATAGAAGAAAAACTCATGAAAGTGTGGCCACATGAGTAAATTGAGAGTATTTTTGTTATTTTAGGGTGAACTGTGCCTTTTTTGCCTTTTTAATACATTTTCTTTTCTCGATTTGTGATCCAAAAACAAAAAACGAACTATAAACATTTAACTTTAAACATGTTTAAGCTGCATTTAAGGGTCAGTTCACACCAAAATTATCATACTATATTTGTCCTTTACTTGTTTTAAACCTTTGAGTTTCTTTCTTCTTTCACAAAAGAAGATAGTGAAGAAGAATGTTGGAAACTGGTAACCATTGGCTTCTGTTGTAGAAAAAGCAAATACTATGTAAGTAAATGGTTACCGGTTTTCAACATTCTTCAAAATCTCTTCGTTTGTGCTCAATAGAAGAAGAACTTCTGAATACTTGTAACCACTTGGGTAAATAGTGAGTTTTTGTATTATTTTAGGGTGAACTTTGCCTTTTTTGCCTTTTTTAATAATTAGTTTTCTCGATTTGTAGTCCAAAAACAAAAATAAACCTTTAAACATTTAAGCTCAAACATGTTTAAGCTGCATTTAAGGGTCAGTTCACAACAAAATGTAAACTGTCAATATTTACTCACCTTTTACTTGTTTTAAACCTTTGAGTTTGTGTAAAACACAAAAGAAGATATTTTGAAGAATGTTGAAAACCGGTAACCATTGACTAGCATTGTAGGAAAAAACAATACTGAGTAAGTCAATGGTTACCGGTTTTTAGCATTCATCAAAGTCTGTTTTTTGTGCTCAATAGAAGAAAAACTCATAAAGGTTTGTAAGCACATGAGTAAATGGCGAGAATTTTTGTCATTTTAGGGTGAACTGTCCCATTTTTCCCCTTTTTAATCATATTTGTGCTCCAGAAACAAAAATAAACTGCATTTAAGGGTCAGTTCACACCGACATTGTCATTATAAACCCATCCTTTATTTGTTTTAAACATTTGAGTTTCTTTCTTCTGTAAAACACAAAAGAGGATACTTTAAAAAATGTTGGAAACCGGTAACCATTGACTTCCATCATATGAAAAACAATACTGTGGAAGTCAATGGTTACCGGTTTCCAACATTCTTCAAAATATGTTTTTTGTATGCTCAATAGAAGAAAATCATAAGGATTTGTAACCACATGAGTAAATATTGAGTATTTTTGTCATGTTAGGGTGAACCTTGTTTGCCTTTTTAATCCATTTGTGGGGGCCAAAACACAAAAATACGCTGCATTTAAGGGTCAGTTCACATCAAATTGTAAATTGCATTATATTTACACACCCTTTACTTTACTTACCTTTATGATTTTTTTTATTCTGTAAAATGCAACAGAAGATAATTTAAAGAATGTTGCAAACCGGTAACCATTGACTTCCATTGTAGGAAAAGCAAATACTGTGGAAGTCGATGGTTACCGGTTTTCAACATTCTTCAAAATATCTTCTTTTGTGTTCAAATCATAAAGGTTTGCAAGCGCTTGGGTAAATAGTGAGTATTTGTGTCGTTTTAGGGTGCGCTATCCCTTTAAATACACCGGCGTGAGTGAACAATGACTGCCTTGTTGTTTTTGGTTAAACTCTTCCTGGAAGTCTTTACAATATTGTGTCCTGTCGCAGCACTTTGTTTTTCTAGTAATGCAAACCTATTTCACTTAAGTTTAGCGTGATTTCTGTGTTTGATTGTTTGTGTCAGGTTGTGTATTTGTTTTATATTTTAATATTCGGTGCTACAGAATGACTGAAAAATCCAAGTTCTCTTGCCGACAAAGTGCTCTTAACAGGAAAATAATATAATCCCGCTGATGAAAATTAATGTAATGATGTTTTGACTTTATTTCCACCTTTAATTTGTTTAAGTAGCATTTATTTCCAGTAGCTCTGTGTGTAAACCTGATTGAAATGCATAAAGGTGTCAATAATCCACAGTTTCCAACCGGATGTTAAGCTGTTGACTGGAGTCTTCAGTTTTCAGTGGCGTGTTGTTTGGTCATCAGAAGTTGCATGTAGGGTTTTCCTATATTCTGCTTTAACTTTTATTCTGAGAAGAGGTTTACACGCTTCACACCGCTCTGAAGATTACTGTATACATGTACTGAGCGTTAACAGAATAAACTAATGGACATTTCTGCCCTGTTTTTGCCTTCTGGAAATAACGATGAGCAGCTTTTTTGTTGTTGTTTTCTTCATTTATATATATATATATATTTATACATATATATGGCATTATTATTAGAGTATTGTGTCTGCAAATAGCTATTTTTTTTTTGAGTTTTTTGGGTTTGAGTGGTTTGAAAGACCCACCCCTGCTGTGCCATCATAAATAGTGAAAATAACTAATCGAAAACAGCTTTTAAGACCAAACAGAATCGTCTGTTCGCTGACGCTTTAGTATGACTTCAGCTAATCAGTTTTGGCCGATATAACAACATTTTAATTTTACTATCTGACGTAAGTGAAGTCATCCTTCGCTACTGCATTGTTTTTAAACAAAACGTTTTACAGGTGTCTTTTATTTTAAATCTTGGACCTTACTCTTAAAACAAAAATGAGCAATGAAAAGGTGTGAAGCACCAAAAGCGGACCATATTAGACTCATTTGAATATATTTTGGCTATTTTTGTTATCCAGGAATTTTCAAATGGGCCTTTTTTACAAGGGAGACTGGAAAAATGTGCAGCTCTACATTATTATATTATTATTACTATTATTATTATTAATAGTATTACTGCTGTTATTATTATTAATATTGTTACTGCTATTATTATTATTATTATTAATATTTTTAATATCACTGTTATTATTACTATTGTTATTATTAATATTATTACTGTTATTAGTACTATTATTAGTGTTAATATTGTTACTGCTATTATTATTATTATTCATATTTTAATATCACTGTTATTACTATTGTTATTATTAATATTATTACTGTTATTAGTACTATTATTAGTGTTAATATTGTTACTGCTATTATTGTTATTAATATTTTAATATCACTGTTATTATTACTATTGTTATTATTAATATTATTACTGTTATTAGTACTATTATTAGTGTTAATATTGTTACTGTTATTATTATTATTGTTATTATTAATGTTATTACTGTTATTATTATTTTAAATATTATTTGTACTATTATTAATAATATTACTGTTATTATTACTATTTTATTATTGTTATTACTATTATTACTAGTGCTACTATTATTAATACTATTATTGTTATTGTAACTATTACTATTGTTATTATTACCTTTATTAATATTGATAATAATATTATTACTATTATTATAACTACTATTGTTATTACTATTATTACTAATATTATTATTACTATTATTTGTTATTATAACTATTACTATTGTTATTATTACCATTATTATTGTTAATATTATTATTATTATTACTATTGCTATTATTATTATTTATATTACTTTTATTTATATTGTTACTATTTTTATTATTATGTTTAAATAATTATTTTTTTTTTATTCAAATAGCCAAATTCTAACTGGGCAAATGTTGAATGTGCTGGCCAGTTTGTTATTTGACTAATAAATGACAATAGACTACAGTTTTTTATATATATTATTATTATTATTTAAAACATAAACAGATTCCTGTTTTTTTCTAATGATATATAATGAATATATATTTTAAAAATAACTATTATTTCACATCTCTTTATTATAAGTGTTTAGGAAATATGTTTGGTACATTAAAAAGTGTGGTTATGATAACCATCCCACAAGTTAATCCAGCTAAACATAGTGCTTAAAATGTCACTAATATGCAGTATTTAAATCTCATAATTAAATTGAAAATATAATTGCAAAAAGGTCCACATTTTGAGAAGAAATAACCATCCCTTACAGCAGGCTGACTACAGGCCTGATACAGAACAGTATCTGCTGTATGTGTATACTGGGACTCACAGTTCGACGTCATTATGCGTTTTCCTATTTTATTTATTTATTTATTTATTTATTTTCCAGAGTGTAGTGGCTTTGTCTGTATAAATAAATAAATGAAATAAGTAAATAACGAAAAACTACTTCATATGTGAAGTGTTATCATCTGTCAAATGGACGTCGCGTACTTAATACAAATCTCTGAACACCCAAGATTCAATGTATTTTTCCTCACAACACTCCTGTTTGACCTTTTATCTTATATTTAATGAGTCTCTCGTCTCTATTTCTGTAATAACTTGGTTTCACTTGCTCGTTTATAGGAACTTCCTGCAATCTACTTTCCGTTCGCGGAATTACTAAACATACTATCGCAGAGGCTCCTTTTATGAATATAAATGATGCAGGCTAACGCTGATTGGTCAAACTGCGCACTGTGGCTACTTAATATTCATGAGATCACGCTTCGCCGTAGTAGGATTGGTCAATCCGTTTTCCGTTCATTTTAATCGCGTGGCAGCGCGCCCAAAGTGAGAGTGACGTACTAATGCATCGGCATTCAGCGCGGAGGCGAGCAGCTGTCAAATTACTATTGATCAAGATCTGATCAACCGAACGCTCAACAATGAGACACTGAAGTCGCCAATCCTCAGGTATGTAAGCCCGTGTGTGTCAAAAATAAATATTGTGATTAATATTGCTGAAAGCGAAAGTGACGTTAAGAGGGGAATTCGGTAACGTTATATTATCTTAAAGCTCAATGTAGCCGTTGACGGTGTTTACACGACAGACATGCTGAGGCGTATCTTCATCCTATAAGAGCATATAACGCTAAATTAAGCTGCTTTATTCCGTTTGGATCCATATGTCATGTTTTGCACTGGGGAATCCCCATTTGTTTTGCACTCTCTCACACAGGAACAGTCCGTATTGTTCATGTGTGTAGCTTTTTATAAATAACTTCATTTTAATGTGTGTTATTGTGTAATTTCCCCATTGAAAATAACGAAGAGACGAACACATGGCCATAATAATCTCCCCATCTTGCTTTGTAGACGCGAACTCTTCATTTGCGCCTCCGGTTCATCACTCTGGTTTATTTTTTGTTTATTAAGTATGAGTCTATGTTTGATGTGTTTGTAAAGTAAACGAAAAATAGCTAACATTAGCATTATAGGATGGGTATAATTTACTCAAGATGCACCTTGTAGTTTCACACACTGAGAAAAGACTGTGTGTGTGTGTGTGTGTATATATATATATATATATATATATATATATATATATATATATATATATATATATATATATATATATATATAACAGTTCTGTGTGGTTCTGATTGGCTGATAGCCGTGTGATATTCTGCAATATCAGAACTCCTACAGCCTCTTTACCCTTTGTGTATTACTCCGCCCACATACAGCCAGCAAAAAGCAGACACTACAGATCTAAAACTTAAAAGATGCTTGCTCAACTGTTTAACTGTCAGATTATGATTTGAATCCAATGTGGAAGAAAGTAGTTCCACATACAAAAGGGTTTTTGAAACTTTCCGTGTTTAATTTTGTTTTTATATACACCATTATGCCGTCAAATTGTTGTATAAACGCAATATCAACGATATACAGCCATATCGCACTGCTACTCGTGTGATATTGCTCATATATATATATATATATATATATATATATATATATATATATATATATATATATATATATATATATATATATAAATATTGTGATTAATATTGCTGAAAGCGAAAGTGACGTATATATATATATATTATACACACAACAGTTCTGTCTGGTTCTCGAATCTGATTGGCTGATAGCCATGATATATTTAGGTAATATAAGCACCTGTAAAGCCTCTTTACCCTTTGTGTATTACTCCGCCCACATACAGCCAGCAACAAGCAGACACCACAGATCTAAAGTGTAAAAGATGCTTGCTCAGCTGTTTAACTGTCAGATTATGATTTGAATCCAACACAGAAGAAAGTAGTTCCTCATACAAAAGGGTTTTTGAGACTCTCCATGATTGATTTTGTTGTAATATACACAATTATACCATCAAATTGTTGTATGAATGCAATATCACACGAGTAGCAGTGCGATATGGCTATATATCGGCACTGGTGGGGGCATTAAGACACCCGGCCTGTGGCCTCGTGCCAACGCACGCCTCCCACCAGTGCAGATATACAGCCATATCGCACTGCTACTCGTGTGATATTGCTCATATATATATATATATATATATATATATATATATGCCTGTATGAATGCACTGGTTACTGTACGGTTCTGTCTATACCACCTTTAAGGATATATTATCCAATTGATAGAGTAAAGAGGTCATACACAAATTATTATGTTCAAACAATGTATTAATTTCTTTATGATTAATGTGTAAACATAATCATCACAATATAAATCAAATAAAATAGCGTAGGCCCACGTAAATGATAAACAATTATCATATAAGAATTAAAATCCTTACAGTACTGCGAGGTTGTAATATAGTGGTGAAATAAGTCCCAATAGTTTCAGAGAATAAGTCCACCTTATAAACAGGAGGTCCAGTATACAGTTGAAGTCAGAATTATTCGCCCCCCTGTTTATTTCTTCAACACATTTCTAAGCAAAATAGTTTTAATAACTCATCTCTAATAACTGATTTATTTCCTCTTTGTCATGATGACAGTAAATAATATTAGACTAGATATTCTTCAAGACACTTCTATACAGCTTAAAGTCACATTTAAAGGCCTAAATATTGTATTTAGGCAGGTTAGGGTAATTAGGCAAGTTATTGTATAACGATGGTTTGTTCTGTAGAATATCACAATAATTTATAGCTTAAAGGGGCGAATAATATTGAGCTTAAAATGGTGTTTAAAAAATTTAAAACTTCTTTTATTCTAGTCAAAATAAAACAAATCAGACTTTCTCCAGAAGAAAAAATATTATCAGACATACTGTGAACATTTCCTTGCCCTGTTTAACATAATTTGGGAAATAGTAAAAAAAAAAAAAGTGCAAATGGTGGCTAATAATTCTGACTTCAACTTTTTGTAAATGTGTGTGTGTGTGTGTGTGTGTGTGTATATTGTGCAAGTGTTAAAAATGATTGAGGTATAACGGACAAATACGTAGTCTTTTCTCAGTTTATATATGTTTGTTTGGGGGTGTGGGGGAGTTTGATGATCGAGAATGATGAAGATGGTTGCAAGTTGGGTTCGGCGCACAAGGGGACTGTACCAAAAAGCTGTGGGGGGGTGGAATTTCGGGAGTTTTCCGGGAGACAGAACAATACAGGAAAAGGGCGGGAGATGGGTCTGAAATTTGGGTGACTCCCGGGAAAAACTGGAGTGTTGGCAGGTATGATGGGGTTTTGGAGGCGTCTGCATCACCATATGGGGCATAAGAACAGGACGTGTGTTTGGATATAACTCCAATAATAATTATTATTATTCATTTATTCCTCTGCTGGAGATTAGAACTAAAGTTAGAAATAGTTTTGAAGCAAATCTTTGCGCTTAACAAATTAAATTAAATATGTGGGCTGATGGATGTGTTCAGTGGAGTGAGTTTCCACCGTTTCCTCACTCCACCAAAGTAAAGGAGTAAAGTAAAGAGGCTGAATGGAGGAGGCTCGTTCTTTATCCTCGCGCTGCAGATACTCTGTTTAACTGTTTTCGCTAGTGAAGCGTTTTAGTTTTTACACTTACAAATGTAAGAGTTTTGATGCATATATCTTCATAATAACTTTTGCCAACAGGTTACTACAAGTTACATCCATTATGTTACGCCCCTCTCTTGCAGTCCGCAGACAGACCCTACTCAAACTGCAAGTCAGAGATTGTGTTTAGTTATTTGTTCGGGTGACTTTCTCAGGTTTGTATGGCTGCAGAGGAGAACGAGAGTTCTGGGCTCTCCAGACAGAACTCGGAGGCCTCGAGATCCTGGGATCTTGACAGCAGAACACTGCGCTTCGTGAGCCGGCTAGAGCAGCAGTTCATCTGCCCGTCCTGTGGGGGCATCGTCCTCAACCCTCACCAGACGGGCTGCGGGCACATCTTCTGTGCTCAGTGCGTGAAAGCATACACGTAAGAAGAATGCGCTCAATTCATTCAGTCAAGTTGCATACAGCGATCATCAATCAAACATTGAAGCAAATGTTCCCAATAAATTCAGAAAATGTGACTTTATCTGCTGTAAACAGTGAGCTGTGGCAAAAATAGAGAAATCAATTCGGAGACTTTCAAAATGCATCATTATTCTGTTTTGAACAAATTCTGAGCATAGTTTTTAACAGCAGACGACGCTCTAGGCTAGTGTTTAACAGCAGACAGTTCTCTAGACCAGTTTTTAACAGTACATGCAACTCTAGGCTAGCTTTTAGCCATAAACCCAAAAGCTCAAGAGCAAGTCATGTGAGTTTGCTTTTATATGTCACAAGAGTAACGTAAACAGCTCGCTAATTAATTCCCTTAAACCTTCTATGCCTTAATTAATGATTATTTTTAGGTGTATTTTTAGGCGTAAGTGGTATTAGTAAGGAATTAGATGCAAGCACAGTACGGCTGTTTATAAGGCACACAGCGCCATCTGCTGTTAGAAACTAAGCTCAGAATAAACAAGAGAGTACAGAGATGCAATTCTTAAAATCACTGAATCAAACCAGAAACAGTTTGTCAAGGGATTTTCGCATCTTTATATTGGAAGTTGCTAGAAACTCGTGCATTAAATATTTAATATTATTACACAACCAGTTAGTAGTTATATTTTAAAAATCTACAAGCGATAAACAATTGTTTATTACATTTAAGAAATGTTTTTTGCTAATGTTTGATACGCTCTTTGATTGGATGAACGTTTGCGCATATTTTTGTGAGAATTAATGCTCTCCCATAATGCTTTTCAAAGATCTGTGAATGTCAATGTTTCTTGTTAATTGTATGCATGCAAAATGATCTAACAATGTGCAATCTTCCATGTTTTCAGTGAAAATGGGGGAAGTTCGAAATGCCCGTTAGACAGCATTCCTATAAAACCCGAGGAGGTGAGAATATGAAAACATTACCCAGAAACATAGCTTCACATTCCTCTATATTGTCCTCAATGTGAGTTTGAATGCTTGCAGATCTTCCAAGACAACTGCTGTAAAAGGGAACTGCTGAACTTGGAGGTTTTCTGCACCAACGCGCCAGAATGCACTCAGAGGTTTTCTTTATGTAACCTGCAGGTAAAGGGCAGACATTTTACATGACGTAATGTGTGATGTGATGATGGATCGCATTATTTAGAGCTTTAAGGCCCGTTGGAATCAAGAACAATAACAATCAATATAAAGTAAATTGATAAAAGTATGAACGACAGTTGAACCATATTGATCTGTTTATTTTTTTCAGTTAATTTTTTTTTTAAACGCTTAAGGTTTGCAATGGTTACGCTATCTGTCCGCACTACATCGGAGTTTTCGAGCGCCAAAAACGGAGCGTTTTGCAAACGCTGGAGAGGCCGTGTTCATTCTGAAGCGCTGCTGCTGCGTCTCAGTGTGGATGAGGGAAAACGGAGACATCTGAAAATGGAGGCGGGGCTGCTGAGATTCGCTACCTGATTGGGGCTTTTGTGTCATTGCGTATCCTTCCCTTATTCGTCAATGCCCTATCACATGACTATAACACACGGCTTTAACACTACTGGAAGACAGCAGACCAGCCTTCACTGTAAACAACAACACAGACACAGAAATGGGAGCGTTGTTTGCACTATTGTCTGTTTTAGGTGCCATGGTGCATGCCCGGAGTGTGTGAATGGTCACGTGATATACGTTTTTGGTGGCGTAGTGTGGACGAAGATACGTTCAGAAACGCTAGGTGAAACGCTAGTGTGGACGCGTATCGTTTTTGATCTAAAACGCCGTTTTCAAACTAAAACACACTAGTGTAAACGCAGCCTCAGATTCCTCTTTTAATTGTAATGCGTAGGCGTGTCCCAATTCTCGTTAGCTTGAAGGCGTAGGGTTAAGGGGAAGAGCTAGATCCCCCTTTAAACAGAGATTGTCACACTTGAAACCAACGAGTAAGAACATGTTTTAACTACAACAGCAGCATGACTGCACACGGAAGTAAGGAGATCCACAAATTCGTATTTTTTGAGTCCTTCAGGCTTGTTTGAAACCTACCATAAATATATACACTAGATATCGCATAGGGACCCTGAGCATGCGTCAATAGCGCCGCCATATTTGTACAGTGTTTCCAGGACAAGTGTCATTCAACCACACTAGTCAAGACAGTGTTACTACGTGAAGATGTGGGACTTTAGTGCTGCTGAGTACGGGTGTAGTAAAGAGCAAACAAAGAAAACAAAGCACAAAGGCAGAACACTTCATAGGTAAGATTTAGTTGTTTAAGTTTTTGTATGTTACGAACTTTTGTGCTAAACAGGTCACGTTATTGATGATAATAAGTGAAGGAGTCGTTCATAACGGAGATTCATTCACAAGCGAATCGCTCCCTCAGTCAGTATGAGAAGTGAAAGCAGGAGAGGAGCTGTGTTTCAGGACATGATTAGATCAAATTTAACAGGGAGGGTGGATAATACATTTCCATACACACAAACACAAGCGTTTTGTCGGGAGTGCTTGTGTGATCACTGATCTATGGATTTAGAAAAGTGATGTAAAATTATAATTTTCGTAATTTAAAACAAATTTTGCATACTGACCTCCGGGAAAACTTCAGATCACTGATATATGTGTATTTTTCTGGCTCTGGATGGCCACAGTCCTCCACTGCAGCTTGTTCCTGCATTCATTTCAAAGGAGCGCTACCCTGTACTAAAATGGCGGCTCTATTGACGCAATCCTTCCAATAGACAACAACAGGGTAGGCGACATCTAATGTAAACATCAATGAAAACCTACAGGTTAGTGGGTTTAAACAGGGTTGGAACCAAACTGTGCAGAGTTGTGGCCCTGCAGGGACTGAGATTGACACCCCTGCCCTAGAGTGATGACTTGTCTCTTCCTCAGGATCATCTAAAGGCTTGTCCGCATGAGCGAGTCCGCTGTTCACACTCCGACTGCAGTGACATTGTGTTACGCAAAAACCTGCTGGAGCATCAGAGGAACGCCTGCTCCTACCGGCTGGAAACCTGCCATTACTGCAGGCAGAACTTCCCTGTGTCTCAGATGATGGTCAGTGTGTGTGTTTGAGTCTTAATGAAGAAATCCAGCTTTTTAGATGTTAGTCTTAGGGATGTCTAGTGAGCTCCAAAACAGTGACAAACTTCTCACTTAGAAGATATGAACATCCAAAGTCTGCAGTTCGTCACGTGCAGTTGCATCAACATTTGTTTTGCCGTCACCTCATACTCTGATCAAATCCTCTGACCAATCTAATGCTCTCTAGTGTGTGACATGCCACGCCCCCTTCTTCTCATTGGCTGTTCATTTGATGCGCTTGAGCTTAACCACTCTGGCAGAGCTGTGAGAAAAACCAAACGCTATTGGCTGCTTTTAATAGAGGAGCTATGCTTCATTGAGTACTCTTCATATTTCTATTGAGATTATAAAAGCAACACTGCACGTTTGTTTTGACAACACAACGTGGCGTCTCTGCCGTCTAAACACTGTAACATTAATGAATATTAATGAAGTTGCACAATAGAGCGCGCTGATTGGTTTGAACTAAGTCTTACTCATGCATTAATGCAGCACACTCGGAGACATAATACGTTACTCCCAGGTACAGACGTCCAGTCCACACGCTGGAATACACGCTAAGATCTCATGACCGTGACGCAGCTTCAAAAATTTGTTTCAAACCGGAAGAACGAATTTGCTGGAAATAACGCAAAAACAACCAATTTACACTTTTTAGTGAGATATATGTGTCCTAATAGTGTTTTTAGCAGTGTGGGACACACTGTCTACAGCTCAACACATGTGTTTTGGTGTTTCGTGACCCTTTAATACTGCACAAGGCCATCTCAAATCTGCTCTAAACTTCCTCCAACAGGGCCATCAGAAGTCTTCATGCCCAGATGTGGAAGTCCCATGCTCCAACAACTGCACGCAGATGATTAAAAGACACCAGGTAAAGCACAGCCAGATGCTTTTCTCAGGGGAAAACCCATTTAGAAAGGTTATTGTAGTGCTCTTGCTTACTAGCAAAAGTTTTGGAAATCTTGTGGCAAATTCATGTAAATTTTGTGCAGTCTCTTTTGCCTAGACAAAATCAAATACTGAGAAAATCACCTTTAAAGGTGTTTGACTCTTTTAAAGTATAAAAACAACATAATATGTGCAGATATTTCAGACACATGCTCAGTGAACATGCTTGTTTATCTGAAAAACAATGCTGAAGATATTCTGCTTTGAGAATGTGCATTACGTACACAAACGTCTGCTTTTGTTTAGCTCATTTACCCCGCCTACTGCCAGTTTAGCCAATTATATTTCAGCACTCTGGGTTGCCTTGGTGGAAAACAGCACATTTCATTCATTCAGTGAGAAAGGCTCTCAAAGAGTGTGTCTGTGACTGAATTGTGACCTCCGGTGGACAGTAGCAGACTCCGAAATGAGAGGCAGATTCAGAGTTCCACATGAGGTGGTTATTAATTAGCAAATAATAATGCAAGCGTAAACATTAGGTGAGCAGGTTACATTGTAACCCCGTGTCCTAACAACATGAGATACGCAGTGATGAGTAATTTGGCTGTTTGCATCAGACGAAACATGACATAAATGTAAACGCAGGCATTCAGAAGCACAGAATAGTGCACTCCCTGCACTCCAGCACAATGGTCAGATTTATTACCGAATGAAGGCATATTAAACCTCTTTAACATGATTAAATGTAGATGCTGGATAGCTGATATGTGTTGGCTTGCACTGAGTCTCAGTTCTAAAGTTCAATCTCAAAGTGTTTATTCTATTCTCCAGATCTGCTGCTGCTTTCAGTAGTATGGCAATAAATGTCATGTGAAAGGGCGATCACGAAAAACAGAAATGTGCGCACATTTAGAAAACCTTGAAGCCAGGTGCTCGATCAAAAAACAAACATTTGTAGCAAAAGATCCAAAGAAAATCGACACACTGCCACTTTAACTCTCAAAAAGTCTTTAATATCACAATGTCACAACGTTTTGACCGACACGGTCTTCATCAGGTCATAATAATATTGACCTTAAAATGGCTTTAAAACAATTAAAAACAGCTTTTATTAACCCAAGCTCATTCTGAAAATGTAGTCCTGCGGACGTTTCTGGAGACAGCGGAATACGTCCCGGGGGGTACGTACAGCCGCGTTTATTTTTTTCAAGCGAACACTACGAGGCGATGTGACGCTGTTCCCTTTCACGCTTGCCTTACCTCCTTGTGGAGGGCTTCCCCGCTGCAACCCGCTTGTCCACTCAGCTCAGCGTGTACGTCGGCAGGCTCGAGATGCAGAGAGGGGTCGACCACGGCGATCGGTTTCGAGTCCGGGGAAGAGCGGTTCCAGCAATCAGGTAAGACAAAAACAGAATCCCAAAAATTTCGTGACAGGGTGAGAACGCGGTGAAATCCGAAAACGCGGTGGAATAGAAAAAATCAGGGCTTTTATTTTTTTGGACGGCTTTTGTGAACTGTTGCTCAGGTTTAGGGAAGCGAGCGGGCGGGTCGATCGGTAAAAGTGGTTGGGTTCAGGGAAGGAGGAGGGCGAGTCGGCCGATTGGCCGGTCGCGCAGTCAATCATCCGGTCAGTCGGACAGCGGCCTCCAGCGGATTCACGCGAAAAAGGTGCGAAAAAGAGCGCAACAGCGGCCTCTCGCGGATTCGCGAAAACAAAAACTGCAGCCGTACGTACCCGCCCGGACGTATTCCGCGGTCTCCAGAAACGTCCGCGGGACTACGTTTCCACAATGAGCCCGGGTTGGCTTTTATTCTAGCCGAAATAAAACAAATCAGAGGAAATACTGTGAAAAAAATCCTGAATCTGTTCAACATCATCTGGGAAATATTTGACAATGAAAAACAAATTCACAGGAGGACGAATAATTGTGACTTCAACTGCATGTCTTTTCTCACCATGTCCATTTGGGGACTTCATAAATGGAGATTCTCACAGTACAGATGTTTCTTTTGCTGTTTGCAGCTGCAAGCACATGCTGACGAGTGTCTCGAAGTGGAGACCGACTGCGTTTATAAAAACTACGGCTGCACAGTCAGGGTAAGACTACAACATTTCAGCATTTGAAAGTGTCGGTGATGTCTTGTTTAATGACAGGGCTGTTGAAGAAACTGCTGTAAGGGCTTAACATGAAAAAGCTTAGAGACATGCCAGCAAACAGTTTAGTGTTTGATAGATGTCTAATAGACATCTAAACGCTGACAGCTTGACTAAAACAAGGCTAAACTTAAGCTGTTAGTGAAAATCTAATAGACATCTAGCCCAAAACTAGACCAGTCGTCAAGATTAGACTGACTTTACATGTGTAGTCACTCATTTCTGTTTATTTGATGGCTAGTCTAGTTTTGGGCTATTTTTAGACGTCCCATCTTTAGTCTTGTTTTAGCCAAGATGACTATGTTTAGATGTCTATTAGACATCTTTAAAAAAACAAGAAATGCTTGCTTAGAGACAAGCCAGAGACATGTTTATAAGAGTTATGCCCTAATTAAATGAGTCCTAGTTTAATATAAGCTCTGAAACTTGCCTCGGCTCGGTCAGTTGGAGTTTCTGTGTGGAGTTTGCATGTTCTCCCTGCATTCTCGTGGGTTTTCCTCAGGGTGCTCTGCTTTCCCCCACAGTCTAAAGACATCTGGTACAGGTGAATTGGGTAGGCTAAGATGTCTATAGTGTATGAGTGTGTGTGAATGTGTGTGGATGTTTCCCAGAGATGGGTTGCGGCTGGAAGGGCATCCACTGGGTAAAAACCTGCTGGATAAGTTGGCGGTTCATTCCCCGGTGGCAACCCTAGATTAATAAAGGGACTAAGCCGACAAGAAAATGAATAAATGAATGAGGAAAAACTCTTAATTTTGCATTATTTCTACTGAAGGTGAAAATAATTCAATATTTTTACTTGTTCTAAGAATTTTTCAATATTTGGACTAGAAACGAGACAATGCAAAGTAGGAAAAGCATTTTTTGTATTGTATTTATTGTACCTGAATCATGTTAGAAAACCAACAGTATCTGGAGCAGCCTTCATGATGCATGCTGAGGGCTATATTTTAAACCTTTGGACGCAAAGTCTTTACTCTTAGCTGGTCTATTGCAATCTATTTTAGTTCCTCAAATTAGCAACGCACCAACTATATGTGCCTTAACACACCTTCTTTCTAGATCAGCACACCCATGAGATCACAAAATGGCGCAAATGGATTTGCTGTTTAAACAACATGGCGGAAGACGGATAATCAAGGTTGCATTGGTCTAAAAATAGCAGAATGTTGGGGAAAACACGTCTTATTGCGCCGGGTGCATGATATGCCAGACACAATGAACTCAATGGAGCTAGTGATGTCACTGTGAAGGGTTAGGTTAGGGGTGGAGTCCATTCAAAAGCATTGCACGCAGCTTAGATTGCATCTGCACCAGGTCTGCATCCAGACCTCTGTCCAGAAAACTGCCAAATAGAGCTATTCCTCTAGTGAAACTGCAAAAATATCACAATATTTAATCGCAGAAAAATAAAACATCGTAATATCAGACTGGGCGACGCAGTGGCGCAGTAGGTAGTGCTGTCGCCTCACAGTAAGAAGGTCACTGGTTCATACCTCGGCTCAGTTGGCTTTTCTGTTGTGGAGTTTGCATGTTCTCCCTGCGTTCGCGTGGGTTTCCTCCGGGTGCTCCGGTTTCCCCCACAGTCCAAACACATGTGGTACAGGTGAATTGTGTAGGCTTAATTGTCCGTAGTGTATGTGTGTGTGTGTGAATGTGTGTGTGGATGTTTCCCAGAGATGGGTTGCTGCTGGAAGGGCATCCGCTGCGTAAAAACTTGCTGGATAAGTTGGCGGTTCATTCCGCTGTGGCGACCCCGGATTAATAAAGGGACTAAGCCGACAAGAAAATGAATGAATGAATGTAATATCAGACTTTTCTAATATCGTGCAGCCCTTGTACAAACATTTTTTTTTTTAAATGTAAAGATTAAAAACTTTCAGGGATGTGAGATGCTGATGAATGCATAATAACCGCCTGACACTGCCAAAACAGCACATGTTCAGACTCACATCTTTACTCTGTTTTTCTTGCAGGATAAAAGGGGAAAAGTGCAGGTGCATGAAAACACAGAGTTCAGTGCACATGTCCGACTCGTCCTTGAAAGTAACACCAAACTGGAGAAACAGGTATGAAAATCAACAGGGAGAATGCAGTAAATGTGTAGCTCACCCAAAAATGAACTGTTCACTCTCCCTCAAGTGATTATAAACCATTATGACATTTGTTTTCCTCTGTTGAACACAAAAGAAGATATTTTGAAGAATGTGGTTAGCACGATCGCCTCATGGCGAGAAGGTCGCAGGTTCGAGTGCCGGCTGGTTCAGTTGGCGTTTCTATGTGGAGTTTGCATGTTCTCCCCGTGTTGGCGGGTTCCCTTCACAGTCCAAACACATGCGGTGTAGTGGAATTGATGAACTAAATTGGCCATAGTGTATGAGTGTGTGTGAATGACTGTGTATGGGTGTTTCCCAGTGCCAGTTTGCAGCCAGTAGGGCATCCGCTGTGTAAAACATATGCTGGAATAGTTGGTGGATCAGCTGTGATGACCAGTGATGAATAAAGGGACTAAGCATGAATGACTGTAAGCATTGACTTTCATAGTAGGAAAAGCAAATACTCCAGTAAGTGCTTACAGGCTTCCTGATTTCTTAAAAGACACTTTCTTTTGTGTTCAACAGAAGAAACACAATCGTAATGGTGTATAACCACTTGAGGGAGAGTAAATAGTGAGTACATTTTTATTCTCGCAGGAACTCTTCCTTTAATGTGAACGCAACAATGAGTTAATGTTTGTCATACAATTAATACACGAACACACTTCATTGAACGTACACATAGACATCACCTATTTAACTGCAGGCTAGCTGTGGTTATATATAACTTTAACTGGTAAAAGCTGTTAGTTAGTTAGCAGTGTTGTGCTAGTTACTGAAAAATAGTAACTAGTTACAGTTTCTAAATTCAAAAACGTAACTCAATTACTTCATTGATTACTTTAAGTTGTTCAGTTACTTTATCGATTACTTTAGTAACTCAGTTACTTTATCAATTACTTTAATAACTCAGTTACTTCATTGATTACTTTAGTAACTCAGTTACATCATCGATTACTTTGTTACACAATTACTTCATCAATTACTTTAGGTAACTCAGTTACTTTATCGATTACTTTAGTAACTCAGTTACTTCATCGATTACTTTAGGTAACTCAGTTACTTTTTATCGATTACTTTAATAACTCAGTTACTTCATCGATTACTTTAGGTAACTCAGTTACTTCATCGATTACTTTAGGTAACTCAGTTACTTTTTATCGATTACTTTAGTAACTCAGTTACTTTATCGATTACTTTAGTAACTCAGTTACTTCATCGATTACTTTAGTAACTCAGTTACTTTATCGATTACTTTAGTAACTCAGTTACTTTATCGATTACTTTAGTAACTCAGTTACTTTATCGATTACTTTAGTTAACTCAGTTACTTTATCGATTACTTTAGTAACTCAGTTACTTCATCGATTACTTTAGGTAACTCAGTTACTTTTTATCGATTACTTTAATAACTCAGTTACTTCATCGATTACTTTAGGTAACTCAGTTACTTTTTATCGATTACTTTAGTAACTCAGTTACTTTATCGATTACTTTAGTAACTCAGTTACTTCATCGATTACTTTAGTAACTCAGTTACTTTATCGATTACTTTAGTAACTCAGTTACTTTTATGAAGGACCGCACACACACACACACACACACATCGCAAAATGCAGAAGTTTTGTTCTTTCCGTTTGGCGTGCGTTATTAAATTCCATAACACTCTCACCTGTCTTTACTCCTTATTTGCGTCTAATATGACGCAATATGAATATGATAATATGAATGAAATGATTATGAGTGAATGTGACACTGCCAAACTGCAGTTAAAGTCAGCCAAAATTACAGGAAACCCCTACATGCATGTAATGTTTGATGTGGTCATTTCAGAGTAGGAATACACACAGGTTGAAGACCTGTTCTCGCCCCCTACAGTGCAATTCAGCCAGGTATACATTCGCGCTAAAATATCAAAAAGAAAGTCATCATAGCTTGCGAAGAGCAGACCCAGCTTCCAATAGATTAACGGCGATGGTTTGTTTCATCACTTGATAAGAGTCTCGCGTTACGACCCACCACTACTAATAACCTTAACTTTTCCAAATTTGTTTGTAATGCAATAATATATAGTTTTTGTAAAGCTGCTTTGAAACGGTAATTATTGTGAAAGGCACTATACTAATCAACTTAAATCTGAATCTTGTAGCATTAAAATCATTACTGTAAGAGCCATAATTAATATTGCTCAATTTCTTGTATTTTACACATGTTGATGAGCAGAGTTTGGTGTAACACGTTCCACAGTAATGCGCTACTGCATTGTAATTACATTTTTGGGGAACGAAGACATTTTAAATGTCCGTAATTTGATTATAGCTACTTAAGTCAGTGTACTTGCGTTACTAACATCATAATTATAGTTTTAGAAGAAAAAAACGCTTTTTTTAAATCACGTTTTCCACCTAAATCCACGCTTTTAAATAGCTGGAGAACGCGAGCTGAAATGGCTGCTGACAAGAGTGCCTGCTTCTGCAAGCAGAAATACAGACATTGCTTTGATTTCATTGAGAGTCAAAATAAAAGTTGTGAAATTCAGTCTAAAGAACCTTCAACTGCTTTTAATTTGACCAGCAACTTCTATTCATGCACTTGAACTGAAACCATTTCTACGACTTTAACATCATCAAGAAGGAAACCGGCGGCCAAAAACGCAGCGGCCCAACTCAGCCTAAACAGGCTGAACTGGATTTTTGTGCATGATCAGGAGTGAAGATATCTTCTGAATGTGAAGATACGTGTAGCTGCTTATGGGGCCGTTTGTATATTGCATATTTTGTGTGCTCTTGCATTTCCCAGGCACACCCAGTTGAAAGCTGCGAGTCACGTGACAAGAGCTGACCAATCATAATATGTAGGGAGTATACACATTTCGGTAGACTAATTACTTCAGACAAACACAGAACACCCAAACACTGCAGTGCTTTTGCACACAATAGATGTCAGTGGTTACAGATATCCAGTTTTCAGTGTTTAAAAAAAAGACAACAGGTTTGAAACAAGTGAATGATGAGAGAATCTTAAGTTTTGGGTGACGTCTTGACATCTTTTAAATATATCAAGCTGCTGTGATCAACCCATTGTAATGTTTCTCAGTGAATATTAAATTACTGACAGAACTTTATTCTAGGTATATTTTATGTGTCTTAAAAGTAACTTCAAAGTAAAGTAATTAGTAATCTGATTACTTTTTACATGCAGTAATTAGCAATGTAATCAGATCATAATTTTCCAGCAATTTGCAATCTCATTCATTCATTTTATTGTCGGCTTAGTCCCTTTATTAATCCATGGTCACCACAGTGGAATGAACTGCCAACTTATCCAGCACATTTTTACGCAGCGGATGCCCTTCCAGCCGCAACCCATCCTTGGGAAACATCCATACACACTCATACACTACAGACAATTTTAGCCTACCCAGTTCACCTGTACCGGATGTGTTTGGACTGTGGGGGAAACCGGAGGACCCGGAGGAAACCCCTGGGAACGCAGGGAGAACATGCAAACTCCACACAGAAACACCAACTGAGCCGAGGCTCGAACCAGCGACCCAGTGACCTTCTTACTGTGAGGCGACAGCACTACCTACTGCGCCACTGCGTCGCCCCTCATTTGTCTCAGTGAATATTAAATTACTGACAGAGCTTTATTCTAGGTATATTTGATATCTCTTAAAAGTAACTTCAAAGTAAAGTAATTAGTAATCTGATTAATTTTTACATGCAGTGATTAGCAATGTCATCAGATCACAATTTTCCAGCAATTTGCAATCTATTACTGTTCACTTAGCCAACACTGTTGATACGCTTAGTTGATTTCACCCCTACTCCTTTGTTTGTAATGGTTTGCTCCACCTTTATTGGACTTTTATATTACGAGATGCAAAAGTGAAAGAAAGAGGGAGCAGCACTGTTTTTTTTTGACAGACGTTTAATGTTATCCTACATGAGACTTCAGTAAACATCTGTAACTGGAACTAAGCTGACTGATTTCCTGAAGATCCTGATAGCACCATTACTGTTATTATCTGCAGATGGAGCAGCTGCAGCAGGATATGCTGGTCCAGCAGGGGGTGCTGAAGGACAAGAGTCTGGTGGTCAGCAGCCTGGACCGGGACGTCTCCCTCTGTGACAACACACTTACTACATTACAGGTGAACAGACCCTGTGCTCACTCACAATGCAAAGCAGGACAGCTCGTCGGGTCATTCGGTTTACAGAGTCAGCACGTTCAGTTGTGACAGGTCACTGCAGATTTTAGCTCCAATCCAAATCGAACACACCTGATCAAGCTAATCAATGTCTTACACGAGCTCCGTTCCAGTCGCCAACCCCTCTCCGTCTCCTCACATGTACATGTACAGTCAGATTTATTCGCCCTCCTTTGATTTGTTTTCTTTTTTAAATATTCCCTAAATGATGTTGGACAGATTCAGGATGAATGGTCTGATGTGGTCTGGTTGTGTGCAGAGGTCTGTGGAGGAGCAGAGGGTGCGCATCTGCAGTGTTCAGCGTGAACTGCGGGATCTGAGAGTTTTGGGCTCCGAGCTGAAAGAAGAGCTGCCCAGACTTCAGGCCTCGCTGGACTCCCTCCGTCAGCAGGTGGCCGTCACCGAAAGCCTCCGAGAACACCTGGGTAGGCCTTATTGCTTCTTTAGCGCAGTGGTTCTCAAAGTGGGGGTCGGGAAAATGTAGGAGGGGGGGTCGCTTGGTGATTAATTTAATTATTATAATAATATATATATATAATAATAATTATTAAGCCATAAGATTTAACATATTCTATCCATAACCTACTGAAAAGAAAAAAATGGTCGTTTATAGTTACTATATATATTACCCTATATGGTTACTATAGTAGCTTATAGTTACTAGTTCTATTTGATTGGGACCCCCGGGGTAATTCCATCATATAAAAGACACAGCAATAGCATCAGATGCAGCAGACTGATTTTATAACACCAGGTTAAACTTTCTGGCCCATTTACAGCACTGACATGCGTTAAAAAATTAAATGAAGAAAAGACTTTGGTCTATTGGTGTGTGTGTGTGTGTGTGTGTGTGTGTGTGTGTGTGTGTGTGTGTGTGTGTGTGTGTGTGTGTGTGTGTGTGTGTGTGTGTGCGCGCCATTGCATTTATAACCACTGTATTTATGACCACCTCAGAGGATATTGGGGGTCGCGAGTCACTGGCATTGTCATTTTGGGGGTCGCGGGCTGAAAAGTTTGGGAACCCCTGCTTTAGCATTAAAGCAACACTCCACCTTTGAAGGGTCACGAAACACCAGAACACATGTGTTGAGCTGTTGACAGTGGTATATGTGTCCCACACTGCTAAAAACACTATTAGGACACCTATATCTCACTAAAAAGTGTAAATTGGTTGTTTTTGCGTTATTTCCAGCAAATTCGTACTTCCTGTTTGAAACGAATGTTTGAAGCTGCGTCACGGTCATGACATAATAGTGTGTATTCCAGCGTGCAGACTGGACGTCTGTGCCAGAGTGAGTCTTATTACGTCTTACAGTGTGATGCATTAATGCATGAGTAAGGCTTGGTTCAAACCAATCAGCGCGCTCTATTGTGCAACTTCATTAATATTCATTACTGTCACCGTGTTTACGCCACAAAGACGCCACGTTGTGTTGGCAAAACAAGCGTGAAGTGTTGCTTTTATAGTTTGCTGCAGTGAAGTTTCGTTTTCATTTTCTCTCTGTGAGAGCTCAGCTGGAGTCACGTGTGGATTAACAGTGTACGCGACGCTCGACAACAATAACTTACGTGTCTAAGGAGGATTATTGTTTACCTGAGAGCTGTTCTCATCTGCAAACGCTGAGATCCGGATTCGCTTGTAACGTTAGTCTCCTCTTCATAAAGACGCGGCTCTAGTTGCTGGTGATTATCCTGTCTCTACAGATTTGGTAAGTGAGCGACCAGTGCTCTTTGTTCATTCAGTTTGTTCGTATCGAATTAAGTTAACTATTGCACTGAGTGCAAACATAGCGCCGCATTTAGTGACTGGAATAACACACGCGGCTTTCTGACGCTACCTGCCGTGTGCATCTAAGTTTCCGGGAAATGCAGAGTTTTTTTTTTTCTCTCATTCGCCGTGCGGTATCAAACATTGCATGAAAAATACACGCTTAGAGCAGTTCCTCGAATCAAATATCTCGTTTGTCGCGAGGGGCATGACTGAATTCCCTGAATGAAAGAGCCAAACTGCAGTTAAAGTCCAACATTTAATAATTTGGCAAATAATTCGACTACAGATGTCCATGTAGGTTAAACACCATCACTTTCTCATGTGTGTGTATTTTGACTCTGAAACTCGCGCATGCCCAAATAGACACTCCCACACCATCCCACTTTAGTGAAAACACCCTGCTGAAACGAGGGGGTTTCATGGCCCTTTAAAAGTCTCATTTCACAGCTCTAGAGTAAAACCATTTAAGGCCTGGTTTACATTAATACGTTTACGTTTTAAAACGCTATGGTTTTGCCATTTGTCACCACTATGCCGGAGTTTTCGAGCGTTGAAAACTGAGCTTTTTGAAAACACTAAAGAGGCCGTGCTGGTTTTAAAACGCTGCTGCTCTGTCTCAGTGTGGGAGACATCTCAAAACAAAAGCATCGCTGCAGACATTCACCTATCTCAGGGGCTTTTTCCTCGTGTAGCTGCATGTTTATATGATCCATGTGTGCATATTTATAACAAAACGGAGCCTATAACATCACTGCCTCCTTTCCTTCTCATTGAAAATGCAAAACATATCCTCTCTATTGCTGAATATCAGTTTAATGATCAATAATGGACGTTATAACAGTATAACAAACAACAAGTGTACACATTATAGGAAATAAAGGCAAGCGGTCAGTCAAAGTGTTCGTGGGTACATTAATTAATATATTAACCGTGCTCAGCCAAAGCTCATTACTAGAGAACAAGTAATAGATTCAAAAGACCAAAGTTGGGGAATATGTCATTAGATATAGACAACAAGACGAATTAAATTTGGCTGCATTTCATATTTAAAACAAACATTTCGGGGGTGGTTTGTTGCTGCAGACGGCTTCTGTTTTTTTTTTTTTGTTTTCCACTACCAGCTGACGACTTGTCTCTGTGTGGACGGCGTTTCTGCTGTTACTGGTTTGTTCAGTGGCTCGCCGCATACGTTGGCAGAGACGGAGAGAGGAGTTTACCGCAATGACAGGGTTTGAGTCTAGTGAAGAAAACAGGGGTTTTCTTAGGGAAGGGGGTGGGCTGGTCAATCGATGCTTTTGAAAACACTAATGGTTGGGTTTAGGGAAGGGGGTGGGCTGGTCAATCAGTGCTTTTGAAAACACTAGGGGTTGGGTTTAGGGAAGGGGGTGGGCGGGTCAATCAGTACTTTTGAAAACACTAATGGTTGGTTTAGGGAAGGGGGTGGGCAGGTCAATCAGAGCTTTTGAAAACACTATGGGTTGGGTTTAGGGAAGGGGGTGGGCTGGTCAATCGATGCTTTTGAAAACACTAATGGTTGGGTTTAGGGAAGGGGGTGGGCTGGTCAATCAGTGCTTTTGAAAACACTAGGGGTTGGGTTTAGGGAAGGGGGTGGGCGGGTCAATCAGTACTTTTGAAAACACTAATGGTTGGTTTAGGGAAGGGGGTGGGCAGGTCAATCAGAGCTTTTGAAAACACTATGGGTTGGGTTTAGGGAAGGGGGTGGGCTGGTCAATCGATGCTTTTAAAGACACTAATGGTTGGGTTTAGGGAAGAGGGTGGGCTGGTCAATCAGTGCTTTTGAAAACACTAGGGGTTGGGTTTAGGGAAGGGGGTGGGCGGGTCAATCAGTACTTTTGAAAACACTAATGGTTGGGTTTAGGGAAGGGGGTGGGCTGGTCAATCAGTGCTTTTGAAAACACTAGGGGTTGGGTTTAGGGAAGGGGGTGGGCGGGTCAATCAGTACTTTTGAAAACACTAATGGTTGGGTTTAGGGAAGGGGGTGGGCTGGTCAATCAGTACTTTTGAAAACACTAATGGTTGGGTTTAGGGAAGGGGGTGGGCTGGTCAATCGATGTTTTTGAAAACACTAATGGTTGGGTTTAGGGAAGGGGGTGGGCTGGTCAATCAGTGCTTTTGAAAACACTAGGGGTGGGCTGGTCAATCAGTACTTTTGAAAACACTAATGGTTGGGTTAAGGGAAGGGGGTGATCTGGTCAATCAGTGCTTTTGAAAACACTATTGGTTGGGTTTAGAGAAGGGGGTGCATGGGGGTATCGGTCCGTCGGTTGGCCAGTCAGTCAGTCGACAGTGCCCGCTGGTGGATTCACGAAAACAAAAACCTCCTACCTCCTGGGAAGTGTTTCGCGTTCTCTAGAAATCTATATAGGGGTACATATTCATAATGAGCCTGGGTTGCCGATGTTGGAGCACGTCTAATCATTTCTTGAAGTGATCATTTCTTTGACTGAAATCTTTGAATTCATAAGTTACTTGATCCTTAAGATCTGAGTGATCTGTTTGGTTTGTATTCAGTGAATATGTCTGTAATGTATTGAGGTTCTAGGATATTTAGTGATTTATTGTCAGTGATGAGTAATAATACTTATCGTGATAACGGTACATTTATGATATATCATGCAGATTATTTGCACGTATAACCACCAGTACAGTAATATCCAAATGTGTTGAGATACATATGTGTTGTGTGTGTCCCTCAGGTGCATTAGAGCAAACCTGCGAGCGTCACACTCGTCTGCTGGACATCCACGTGGAGCAGTTGCAGTGTAATGAGCAGCGTTTGCGGCAGCTGGAGTCCTCCTCCTACGACGGCAAACTGATCTGGAAAGTTCGAGACTACTGGCACCGCAAAGAGTCCGGGGCGGCGCTCAGCTCCAGCCCCTTTTACACCAGTCGCAGTGGCTACAAGCTCAGCGTCAGGGCGTATCTGGGCGGAGATGGCTCGGGACGGGGATCCCACATGTCGCTATACATCACCATAATGCGCGGAGATTTCGATTCGTTCTTACCTTGGCCTTTTCGACAGAATATCACATTAACGCTGCTGGATCAGAGCGGCACCAGAAATCACATGAGCCATACGTTCATCCCTGACGTCAACAGCGATAGTTTCCACCGGCCGACATCTGATGCTAATGTAGCCACAGGATTCACGCGATTCATTTCTCACTGCGATCTGGAGAATCCTCGCAATGCGGTGTTTGTCCGAGACGAGACGCTGTTCATTAAAGTAAAGGTGGACACAAGCGGGTTAGAGGAGTTGTAGATTTACAGTGAGTGTCCAGACCTGCTCTTTAGGCCTTCATACTTGATATACAACAAAAAAAGCTTCTCTTATATTGATTTTGGTCTCGTTTCTCGTTTAAATGTCTGTTTAAATCAAGAAGCATTTTCAGATGAGTAAAACATATTGGCAACACTTTAGTTTAGGGCACAGTCCATGGTATTAACCAACATCTCTAGCTTAATTAGCTACTAATCATCTGTTTATTAATAGTTAGTTAGGTAGAAGTTCATCAGACCACACTTCTATTTATTGTGAATACATGGCTTCTAGAGCAGTGTTTCCCAACCCTGTTCCTGCAGGCACACCAACAGTACACATTTTCAACCTCGTCCCATTTAGACACACCTGAATCAACTCATCAGAACATTAGAAGAGACTCCAAAACCTGAAATGAAGGAGTCAGAGAAGGGAGACATCCAAAATATGTACTGTCGGTGTGCCTTCAGGAATGGGGTTGGGAAACACTGCTCTAGTGACCAAAATTCCCATGATTCCACATTGAGTCATTGAGTCATCAATCTCCACCTTGTTTGTTGTGAATGCATGCCCTCTAGTGGCAAAAACTCCATCATTCCACACTCAGTCACGCCCTCATCAATCTACACTTCTCTTTATTGTGAATGCATGCTTTTTAGAGCAGTGTTTCCCAACCCTGTTCCTGCAGGCACACCAACAGTAAACTGCTCTAGTGGCCAAAAACTCCCATGATATCACACTCAGACATAGAGTCATCAAAATACAGCTTTGTTGGTTGTGAATACAAATCTCCAAAATAAGTACTGTTGGTGTGCCTCCAGGAACAACAATCAGGGCTCAACAATAAGAACTGCCCGATGGCCCGGGGCCAGTGTGAGAGATGCTCGGGACTGTAGACAGAATTGTTACTGACCCGATCGGGGCAGTGCTGCCTTGTCATTAAAGTTTAATAGACGGCAACATGACCGCAACATTAAATTATGAGGCTAAAGGAAAGGTGCTGTTTTGCTTAGTTTGCCGTGACTTTTAAGTCAGCCACCTTTTGTTTTGCAATAAAATACGTGCACGTTTTCCATACTGCTATATTTTACTGCTAAATATTTTTTAAATATTTAAATTCTACAACTACTGACATTATTTTCATTCATTCATTTTCTTTTCGGTTTTGTCCCTTTATTAATCTGGGGTCGCCACAGTGGAATGAACCGCCTGACATTATTTCATGAAACATTATTTAATATATGTGGCTAACTTTTTTATTTCTTTTATGGGGCCAGTGAAAATTTTGGCAGGGCAAGTAAAAATCTGAACCACTGGTCCAATCGGGCCAGTAGAAAAAATCCTTAGCGTTGAACCCTGACAATGGGAAACACTGCCTTAGACAACTACTAATAACAGCAATGCTTCCCTGCAGATCTCTAGTGAATCCAATGGATTGTGTTGCTGGATTGATATGTTTAGTTAGGGTAGCAGGAAAGTGGCGATGTTTCCATCCAGCAGATGTTATGTGCAGTTTAGCATATTGCGTAAAAATAAAACGTTAAGACATCTTGTTCTGTTTTATATTTAATTTTGTGAGCGTTTTTGGATGGAAACATTGCTGTGGTCCTGCAGGAGCAGGTCTGGCCCCTCTACTTTTAATTTGTAGAAAATCTAACGAGTGGGCGACGCAGTGGCGGAGTGGGTAGCATGTTCGCCTCACAGCAAGAAGGTCGCTGGTTCGAGCCTCGGCTCAGTTGGTGTTTCTGTGTGGAGTTTGCATGTTCTCCCTGCGTTCGCATGAGTTTCCTCCGGATGCTCCCCCACAGTCCAAAGACATGCGGTACAGGTGAATTGGGTAGGCTAAATTGTCCATAGTGTATGAGTGTGTGTGTGAATGTTTCCCAGAGATGGGTTGTGGCTGTAAGGGCATCCGCTGCGTAAAAACTTGCTGGATAAGTTGTCGGTTCATTCCGCTGTGGCGACCCCGGATTAATAAAGGGACTAAGCCGACAAGAAAATGAATGACTTTAACGAGTGAAACGCTTGAAGTGGTAGTCTGAAAACAGTGTCATGGCAGTGTCACACAATATCCAGCAGCACTGCTTGTTTACATGCACAGATTTCAATGAATAGGAATCCGTTCAAAGACTCTGAATGTACTGCTAATATCTGCCTTATTTATGAACATATCAGTTCGCGTTTGATAAGTGTTATCAAGTGAACGTGTGCTGTAGATTATCAGTCATAGATTAAGGGGATAGTTCACCCAAAAATCTTAGTCCTTTACTCATTTCACACCTGTATGAGTTGCTTTTTTTTTTGGAAATGCAAATACTATTGAAATCAATGGTTACAGGTTTCCAACATTTTTCTAAATATCTTCCTTTGTGTTCCACCGAGGAAAGAAACTCATGCAGGTTTTCTTACATCCATCATTTCATTCTCCTCATCCATCTGCTATACTGCATTCCAGCTCAGTCTGAAAGGTTGTAGGTATGAGTTGAGCAGATATAACCTCAGGATTGTTTTCTTACCCTTAATTTCTGGGTATGTGAGAAAAGATATTGTTATTTTTGCCACCTTAAAATAAATCTATTTCACATTTTTATAATACATCTGTTTGTGGTTATGATATTTGCACTGTAACTATAATATCTGCCAGCCTCTGTGTTTTTTCTGTATTGGATTGTCCTGACTGGAACATTAACAACTTGCATCTTTCAGGTTACGGATGTATTCTTACACCTCAGCTGGGCTCTCAAATGTGCGGTCACATCCATCGTGGAAGACTCCCAACGTCGCAGGGAAGACGCTTCCATATCGAATGTCCATGTCTTTAAGCTGTTGCTTCACTTAGTAGAATTTTCGCCTCTTCAGATGCTTATTCTGGAAAAATCTTTCCTTCGTGTTCATCGTATGTTATCCTGCGTTTAGCCCGCACACGCTGCAGCACTTTGTCTTTCAAGAAACCACAATGAGTGTTGTTGGAGTGTTTCGGTCAGGACGATCCTGTAGGCAGTGAGCTCTTTCAATGATCATGGGCTGGAAAAAGAGGTCTGTCCAAGTACTTCAGGTAGCCATCTTTCAAGAAATCCTGCCACATCCGGACCCTCCACCCCTTCTGGTAGACCGGTAAGACGCACATTACTGCGATGGCTTAGCTCCTATAAGTTTCACCTGTTGCTGGAGACCGTGTACAGTATTTTGCACCACGGTCGCTGATGCGCTGTTCTGCCGTGGTTAATCTGTTTAAAAAGTCCTTGACCTCTTGTTATATCTCCTGTATGGCTGAGAAAATCTCTAAATTTGATTGAGAAGTCTTCTCTCATACTTGCGATTGCATCCATAATCCCTGCTGACAGATCCATCTTAGACCAGCCTAGGCTGGTTGGCTGGTTTTAGCTGGTTGACCAGCCTGGTTTTAGAGGGGTTTTGGCCATTTCCAGGCTGGTTTCTAGCCAAATCCAGCTAAAACCAGCTTGACCAGCCTGGTTTAAGCTGGATATAGCTGGTTTTGGCTGGACTTCCAGCTTGGCTAGTCTGGTCAAGCTGGTTTTAGATGGTCATCTCCCAGCCTGACCAGCTAAGACCAGGCTGAAAATGGCTGGAAACCAGCCTGGATGTGGCCAAAACCTCTCTAAAACCAGGCTGGTCAACCAGCTAAAACCAGCCAACCAGCCTAGGCTGGTTTAAGCTGGATTTTTCAGCAGGGATGGGACTCTCTTGGTTTGTATTGATGTTTGCGCTAGTTTCTTTAGCTTCGTTTGTTGCGCTAGCCTGGCCAATGGCGGACTCGGCCTCATATTGATTTCCGTGTTTCTTCTTGGTTGTTCGCGATGGCATTTCATCTTGACGTTATTAAACGTTGCAATGGTTTGTTGGCTATATTTTCGTTCAGTTTGTGGCTGTTCGAAATCGAATTCCTTGAATGTTGCAGGAGCGTGTATAGGTACGTCTGATTAATGCGCCACCATGTTGTCCTCTCCGGTTTTTTCTGTTTATTTACGGTTGTGAACTGCATTATGGGATGCTGATTTCTGCTGTCGACTTTTGATGTCGAAAATTCAAGTTTAACAAAATGACTTTTATTGACATTTTAGTTGTTTGAAATAATAATAATATAATGTATAAGATATATTATATGCATATAATGCACTTCTAGTTGATCATTTGTTATCGGAAGTGGCTTATATGAAAAGCAATGAAGAAACACATAAAGAAAGGAAGGTGTAGAAGGACATGGAAAGCCCAGACAGCAGCTGAAATCTCTCAGTAGTTCTTCAGCATCGCTCTGCCCTTCCTCAGTGTAAATGAACATCAGCTGCTTCAGTCCAACATCTACATTAGCAGGAGGATGAAGATGAAACATTTCAGCAAGACAATGAGCCAAAACACAGCCGAGGAGACTCTTAGATGCTTTCAGAGAAAGAAAATCAAGCTGTGGAATGGCCCAGCCAATCACCTGATCTGAATCCAGTAGAGAATACAAGATAAAGCTCAGATTTGATAGACGAGACCCACAGAACCATCAAGATTTTGTCACTCTGTTGAAGTCTGTGAGAAACTCACACCTGAGCAATGCATGAGGCTTCATTCTCCAAATGAGAGGCGTCTTATATATATATATGAATCAGTTTGACTCTAAAGAAACTCATTTGTCCTGCCACTATACCTCAAACAACTAGATTTAACCCATTTAAATGGCTCACAGGCATGTGTCCTCCACCAAAACAAAGTCATTTTCCGCCAACAACAGCAATCAGACCTACACTGTACGTGTTTGTACACACGGAGGATGACACTGACGCATATAAATAGCCACATTATTACAGTACAACAAGCAACCTGACACCTGCCTGCTGACAATAGCCGCTCAGATGACCATCAGCCTATTCATAGGCACTGATCACAGACACATCCAACTGCTGGCGGCTGCACGGTCTCTGGAAGCACTTTCAGGAAAAAACAGAGCAAACGAGAGCGCAGAAGATGTGGAGAAGAGAAAAAATGTGGATGATTAAGCGTAAGTGGCACATTTTACATGCATGGAGGAGATTAATAACTGAATGCAGCTCTTTAACCACTGATTGTTGATTTAAAGGGGGGCTATTATGCAGAAATCACTTTTATAAGGGGTCAGCAGTGTGTGAATATAAGCAGCCTCTAATGGTGAAAGTGTATTAATTGTGTTTGTTTATAATCAGACTTGATGAAGGAAGCACTTTGATTGACATTCTCCCTTTGTATGATGTCATCAGAGGGGGAAAGCCCCGCCCACTAGTGACCATCTCTCCCTCATTAGCATAGAACATCAGTCAATATTTGAATCAGCAGCTGACATGCAGGCACTTGTAGCTCCGCCTCCTGAAAAGAGCACTCTCATTTGCATTTAAAGCGACAGTCACCAAAACGCCGTAATTAGGATCAAAGCCTAAAAGGGTCCGCTTCAGAGAGTTATAAACATTATTAGAGAGCTGAAACTTCACACACACTTTCTAAAGACATCAGAGACGCATTTCACATCTTGTAAACAGTGGCATTATGGGTCCCCTTTAAAAGCACCAACACAATACTCATTTGTGTATTTGAGACATGTTCGATTTCTGTTTCAGCCCCTACGGAGCACCCAAAGGAGTCCAAATACAGGCCTGTGCTGGAGGTATTCCCCTTCGCAAACACACTGCACGCTCATTTACACTCGGCTAGTGGAAAGTCCCGTGCTTTTCTCTGTTTGCAGAGCGCTGCCACACAGTTGCATTGTTCTCCAGTGCATCGCCTCAACCGCGTCCTCTCTCTTTACTGACGTGCTTTGCAAATATTTTGCACAGGATGACTTGCTTCTGCATTCGAAAATAATGCCAGAGATAATTCAATCATTCAAGATTGTAATGGACTTTTAAGTGTGGCCGTAATATTCTAGTTGTACCTGTGTTTTGTAGTGATCAACATCTGAGAACAGTGATTCTAGCATGAAGACAGATTACAGCTCAAATGCTCATTCATTCATTCATTTTATTGTCGGCTTAGTCTCTTTATTAATCCGGGGTCGCCACAGTGGAATGAACCGCCAACTTATCCAGCACGTTTTTACACAGCGGATGCCCTATCTCTGGGAAAAACTCAAATGTTTTGAATGTTAAATCATTAGTGTCTCACAGGTCATAACTAGAGTTTCACACTGTTTTTTGTGTGTCTTGATCATCTCCTATACAGTTCACAGGTTTTCGTGTTATTAGCCATAAATGTGGCTTTTTTTTTTACATTTTCAATCATGTTTAGGTCAGGACTCCGGTCTGCCATTTTATTATTTCATTGCTTTTATCTACAAGGATCTGTTCGATGATGAAGGGAACATTACTCTAATAAACATCTGCTTTCACCATCATGTTTCTGTTTGGCTCCTGTTGCAGAAAACACCAGCACATTTCCTCCACCTTCACTGACTTCTGCTCACACTTTGAGTGCAGTTTTTCAGAGCTCATTACTTTAGTGGTGAAAGCAAGCTTAAGTCCACTTAACATGCTTTAGTCCACACTGTCTTAAAGTTGGCCTTTGGGAACCTGCTGGATTGTTGAACCTCGGCTCAGTTGGCGTTTCTGTGTGGAGTTTGCAGGTTCTCCCTGCATTCGCGTGGGTTTCCTCCGGGTGCTCCGGTTTTCCCCACAGTCCAAAGACATGTGGCACAGGTGAATTGGGTAGGCTAAATTGTCCGTATTGTATGAGTGTGTGTGTGAATGTGTGTGTTTCCCAGAGATGGGTTGCGGCTGGAAGGGCATCCGCTGCTTAAAAAAACTTGCTGGATAAGTTGGCGGTTCATTCCGCTGTGGCGACCCCGGAATAATAAAGGGACTAAGCCGACAAGAAAATGAATTAATTAATTTTTTTAGATGATGACGAGAAACAGAGTTGTGTAATTGTGTAAAAACCACTGCCTCGTTTAAAGGCAGGGCAGAAATGGCACACCCTGATAGCCCCGCCCTAAAGGAATGATAACCCCACCCTAAGTGACTGATAGCCCCGCCCTAAAGGAATGATAACCCCACCCTATGTGACTGATAGCCCCACCCTAAATGACAGATAGCTCCGCCCTAAAGGAATAATAATCCCACCCTAAATGTCAGATAGCTCCGCCCTAAAGGAATAATAACCTCACCCTAAATGACTGATAGCCCCGCCCGAAAGAAATTATAACCCCACCCTAAATGACTGATTGCTCTGCCCTAAAAGAATAATAACTGTACCCTAAATTACTAAAAGCCCCGGCCTAAATGACAGATAGCAGCCCCTAAATCACTGATAGCCCTGCCCTAAATTAATAATAACCCCACCCTAAAAAAATTATAGCTCTGCCCTAAAGGAATGATAACCCCACCCTAAATTACTAATATCTCTAATAAATACTGAAAGCACCACCCAAAACTACTGATAGCCCCGCCCTAAATTAATAATGACCCCACCCTAAATAATTGATAGCCCCACCCTAAATGAATGATAACCCCACCCAAAATGACATACCACCGCCCTAAAGGATGATATTCCAATCTAAATTACTGATAGCCCCACCCTAAGTGACAGATTGCACCACCCTTAATTACTGATAGCCCCGCCTTAAATGACAGATTGCACCACCCTAAATTACTGATAGTCTCGCCCCAAAATCAATAACCCCACCCTAAAAAATTGATGATTACCACACACTAAACGACTGATAGCTCCGCCCTAAATGACTGATAGTCCCAGCCTTAAGGAACGAAAGCCCCGCCCTAAATGACTGATAAGTTTTTAATTTCATTTTTGGAGTTATACAAAGTTTAACTCAGTATTTTAGTCAGTTTGATTGATGTAAGAGTTGACTTGTAAGCTGAATTGATTCAACTGATAAATGTAAGGCAAGATCTGTATTTACGGTGTATGCAGTAACTGTGTGTTGTTGTACCCAGAGTTTACTCCCTCGTGACCCTATGAGCCGGCTCAATCTGAAGAGAGGGTCCCCTAAAGACGAGTTTCCAAACCTGGACAGAAACCAGACCCTGATGGGTCGAATCCTCAACCTGCACATGTACACACGACAGTTCAACCGCGCCACTGAGGGCGGGGTCATCTTTGACGATGTCATACGCCCTGGACTCGAGGATCCAGGTCAGTTCATACTTGATCGATTATTTAGTTGAAGTCCACATGAACTGGAAGCTGCAACCATTTTTTTTTTCGTATTGTGATGCAGAGCAACTAAATATTAAAAGAGAAAGCAGTGGGCGTTGCTTCTTTATTATACTGCGAGCTGATTGGATGTAGTAAAGTAGGCGTTTCATTCAGAAAGATGGGGGGACGGGGTTTGGGAAGAGTTATTACAGCCTATCAGACTGCTCCTACTCACCATATATCTGTGTGTTATCAAAACTGACAGCTGGAGGGGCGTGGTTAAGTGTGATAGCTACGCCCACTACCTCAGACTGACCCAATCTGAAAACAAACAGGAAGTGCATTTACAGATTTTAATTAAAGATAACAAGGGCAAACTGTTTGCTTTTCCTTAATGACATGCACGGATGAATTATTCACCGCTAGACTAGCAATGTGAGCTAACAAAATCAACATGGTTTGTTTTGATGAACCTACTAAAGGAATTTGTTAGATACCACCAGCTAGCTCTGGGTCCGAATATGCCTATTTACGTGCGACAGCATGCCTGATAGTTTCTGAATGCTAAAACCTGTATTTTCAGATGAAGACGCTGTAAGACAATCAAAGTTGTAATGTATTTCTTAGATCTTAATTTTATTACACTTTTTAAAAATATAATTAAGTTCGGTTTCTGTGCCCGTCAATCAGGTTGTCGTTGTCCTAACCTTTGACCAACACCCATTCCACAATGCACCAGCATCCCGCTGTAGTCCGTTGTGGTGAAGAAGGAGCTGAGCCGAAAGGCAAAGCTCTCGATTTTCCGGTCAATCTCCAAACCTATTCTCACCTAATGTCATGAGCTTTGGGTCATGACCGAAAGGACAAGTTCTCAGATACAAGCAGCCGAAAAGAGTTTCCTTTGCAGACATATAGATGAGGTGAGGAGCTCTGTCACCCTGGAGGAGCTCGGAGTAGAGCCGCTGCTCTTCCACATCGAGGGAAGTCAGCTGAGGTGGTTTAGGCATCTGTTACGGACACCTACCTAAGGAGGGGTTCCAGGCATGTCCCGGAAGACCCAGGATACGC